GTCATACTTGCTCACGGCCTCACGATCTTATCAATTGTTCAGAGCCATGACCTGTAGGGTCGTACTGAGAAGCAAGGCTACCGTGCATAATGTCAAACACAGAATAGTGTTGAAGATTTTCTTTTTTTCTTTTTTTTCTTTTTTTCTTATACAAATCACAGCATAATTGTCATATAAAGCATGCTAGCTACATTTCCAATATAATTTCTATGGGAAAAGTGTCCACACAACCCATGAATAGTTAAGTTTCTCCTTGTGGCTTGCCTGAGAAATGAGGTGCTTTTACATCGGGCATAGCATCGGCCCTACAAACCTGCTTAATACCTCCCCTGGGCTCCGCCCTCCTGTTCACTAGGCAAATCCCTCGTGCCAAGGGTTCGCACTGAACATAAGCATGTCAGCTTGTACAATTCATAGACCATTAAAAACGACTATGCACAGAAAATCTACGCCGTGCATCTAGCAATACGGATTGAAACAAGTACACAAAATTGGGTGACATCTTGAACGAATCTCAGTAGAGAGAATGTTTATTAAAAAATCGTTAGCAATCGTCCCAAGCCAAACACCTACCCTACCCGCTCTGTGTTGTAGAACATGTGAAACAAAACCGTCAAATATTGATTGACGTGAGGCAAGTCACTGGAAGTTCTCTAGAATACAGACAAAGCGCACCTTCCCAAAAAACGGTGATGACCGGCAGTAAAGCGTACAGTACGTTCAAGGATTGAACAAATTAGATATATTGAGATCGAGAGCTACCACTAAAGCAACTCCTGTTGCAATAGCCAACCATAAGAGAGCCGCGTCTGCACCAAACCCAACGTTTGTATGAGACAATCCAGTCACCAATAATTCACCACCATCATCATCATCATTTGATGGAGTTATAAATCACTTTCTTGAACCAACGCCTGAAAAGCGATGAAGTCATAAGCAAAGATTAGGAGAAGAAACATCTACTAGGACCAAGTTATATAATAAAATTAAAACTTGAGAAAAAGGACAGAAGAAAAACAACGTATCGATGAAGTTGGATTACTTACACTACCGTAGTGCCATGTAAGCAGTGTAATATTTTAATTTTTAGTCTTCTGGAGATACATACAGAAATTTTTAAAATGAAAATATAAAAATAAACCTCTGCAGGTCCTCACCCTGCGTTGGGAAACTCAAACGACAATCAAACCAAAGAAGAGGAAAGTCGTACTTACTATCCTCTCTAAACTGGCGGAATTGCAAATCCCAACTTTTCCCTTCCCTTTTTTCCTGCTCTTCTAAGGCAGGATTACTCAGGATTGGTGCTACTTCAGGTTCATTTGTTGAAGAATTCGATTTTAGAGGTTCATTTATCGAACCGCTGGGATCAACAGGAAGTCCAGATCCACTTGTTACACCTGGTGGTTTTCTTGTGGTACCTATAGTCAGCATAGGATTAGTGAACCGAAACCCTGTATCATCTTTTTGAGCATCAACTGATGTGACAATTTTGTCCCGCAGCTGACGTTTCGCGGGACTCACTTCTGTTTCCTCCATTTCTTTACTAATAAGTTCTCCAATTTCATTCAGAACCGTGCTCTTTACGGGACTCGTAGTATCAACTTCCTCTTCTTCTGCAACATATGCTTTATATGTCAAGCGAAGCGAAAGCTCCCCGGCATTTCGACCAAGGAAAAACCACCGACCATTCTTCAAAGTAATAACTTTGTCAACAGAAACCGTGTCTTCAAGATCATCGATAGAAATCTGCTCAAACAACTTCACGTCAGAACCAATCCGGAAACGCTGCACTTTTGAAACACACGAGACATAAATGAATTGAAATTACAAGCTCCAATATCTTCAGATTTCAATGAACTCACAAAAATGAAGTAGCCACAGTCACTTGAGTTGTATGACGAGATTGAGAAGTTGCCAATTAGGAGGAGAAAATAAGAGTAGAAATTTGATCAACTATCACATTTCTTCAATATGCAGAATACTATCTGAACTGGGATTGACGATATTAAGGGCTCGATTGAAAAGGGAATACGCCAGGAATTGTTTTTAAAAGAAGTATGTACCGTACTATAGCCGACTGTGATATTAGCCAAACCCAGATAATCAACAGAATCTCTGACTCTTATTCTGAGTTTCTGCGTCTTGGGGTCGACAACAAGCATACGAAAGTCCTGAACATCAAAAACTCATAATATGAATACTGCAATCCGTTAAGCAGGCGATGAAGGTCACGATTGAGCTACTATACTAAATAGACAATGTGAATAATCTTAAAGAAGCATATGGAGAATGTACCACAAAAAAAAAAAAAAAAAAGTGTCCCAGGATTACCTGGTTCCATACTGGTGCGCCTGGCGGTCCAATAAGTGATGTTTTACTATTTTTTTTACTTCGAAAAGTTTGTTCTCCTAACAAAAAAACCACATACGGATCTGTCTTACCTGCAAACAAAAAGGACATACATTAACATCCAGAACCCAAGCCTTGTTTCAGGTTTATGAAACCGAAGCTAAAAAAAAATAGATTAAATAATATACAAATGCACACTTAATTTAAAGCGAAAACAAAGTACATCCCTGAAACAGATCCTGGATTGTAGAAAAACTATGCATAAATGACTTCGACTATAAGATCTGGCACCCACTGTAATTGCAGAACATCTTATGATGTATCTGCCCAACTGTGCACCTGCATTGAATTTGATTGCGGTATATAGCACTAATATTACCTATCGGAAAATAATTCAATTTCCGTGCTTCAATTAGTGTTACTGAAAGCTCCCCTGCAAAACCGTTTAAACCCACCGCGGAATCCTTGAAATCCTTCGGAAGAGGGCCAGCCACTTTTCCTTTAAGATAATTGACTATTTGTTTGTTGGGTCGGACAAAGAGTAATGGAAGATCTCGAGTGAGCAAATTTGTCAAGAATCTGCAACAAGGATAGTGACAAAAACATCAACCATCACCACAAAGTGCAACATTTTGTAGGATTCTTATCTGCGTTCAAGCAATTCTTTGAGCATTAGCTGAGCTACCACCTCTCACCTAGAATCTTCTTAAGAAACACGTGTAACTTATCAAAATTGCATCATTTCTGATCTGGTAACTCTTACATTTAAGCATGTACTAAAAGTGAGAAAAAGCCATTAATATTCTAGACCTGAAATATACCGTGTTCAAAGGGCTTATCCTAGAAAAACGTAACCGAGAAGTTTACTTGTACGAGAAATACGTCATAACATTCTAACATTGAAAACAGCTAGATACACGAGGAAACAAACTCACATATTAAGTAATGGTATAGCTGTGTCGATGGAGACCAGCCGCAGAAATCAGAAATAAACAAACCACATGTAAGTGCCAAATATTCACATTACTCCCTCTGGAAGAAGTTAAAAAGTCTTCCATACCATGATTTCCTACATCACATTTTAGAAATACACGTACACACTGTTCCATGCACCCTGAATCTCACATAATTTTCGTAGACAGAAGTAACATGAAAAATTTCTAGTTGCGTACCCATGAGATTAAAGAGCCGAAATGGAACCAAAGCCAAAGTGACTTTGGGTGGAGCAACAAAGGCCCAGGTTGCAGTTCCTACCCAGGGTTCTGTGGGAATTAATCTAAGCTTCACCCAAACTTCTCCATCTAGATCCAAACCCCGGATAGCAACTGGAATTTCGATCGGTAAAAAACCGAACTTCAATTTTAGAGAAAATACCATGCGAGAGTTGCCCGTGTATCGTAATCCAACGTGGTACCTGAATAATTAAATCGCCTCAGTTCAAACCACAGATATGGCTCTCTACACAAGTAAACATTCAATGATCACTGTCGGATGTGACTCGTATTATACAAACACTACAAGTGGAAGCAAACCCCACCAACGCTACTACCGAGGACTCTCCTCGAAATCTGCATGCCTAACATCAGCAGTTTCATGCTTGTTGATCAGCACTTTCTCTGCCATTCCCCCCATCAAGCAGTAACCTCTAAGTGTAATTCTTGACATATCAACACCATCGTCAGGTACAAAGAACTAGATGAGGACACGTACTGGAGGTCATTAGCACGCCGGGATGTACGACGCTCGATAGTTCGCAAAGTTACTGGTTCATCTCCCAAAAAGAACTGTTTGAGGATCACTCGCTCCACAAAAGGTGGTTTCTCCGGAATTTCGTCAATAACGGGCTGCACAGCCTCAATCGTTGCGGTTTCCAAGCTCCTACGATATAAGTTCCAAACCTTACCGACCACCATATTCAGCCATTCTGCGCTCTCTTTCTTCTTCATGTCACTTTGCAGTAACATCGACAGTGCAATGGGAGCTGCCACAGCAGCCTGAGCATTAAGAATGTCTTTAGTGCGAGGTGGCTTAGTTGGACCTGCCTCCTTTGTATTCAAAACCTTCTTGCCAAGCCGCGCTTTCCTCAACCAACTAGCTAAAGCTGCTGCAACAAGCACTAAACCTCCCAGTCCCAGCAAGCTGTCACCTAAGAAGGGAATAAGTGGAGTACCAGGTGAAGCATCTACACTGGTGAAGTAATTCGTCCAAGACGTATTAGTGGCAAACCCCTTGACCTCCTCTACTTGCTTCAGTGCTGCTTCCAACAGTCTATCTTTCGTGGCTTTTGCTGCTTTTACAAGTCCCAATGGTTTTAGAGATGGCTCAGTGCCATCGTCCGGAATTTCAACCTCCTCTTGCATTTTCTTCTGAGGCTCCTGTCTGGAATTAGAGGCGTCATTCGCCAACTCTTGTGAGTCATCGCTCACGACTATCTCTGGGTTTCCTCTCTTCAAAAACCGATTAAGAAGCTGTCCACTCTTTGTATCACCCTTCGATCCATCTGCTACACTGGCTAATAAACGCCATTTTCTTTTCCCAGGTAAAGCTCTGACTCCAATTCTACACTTGCTCTGGAAATGATTATCCAGTTTATATGGTCTACCATGAAATAAATTTTTAGGGCCATGAATCTGAGCAGTTAAACAGGTGCCCAGCGGACGAGAGTGCAACGTTCCTACAGTGTAAGATGCTACAGGGAGCTGAGGATTACGTGTAGAGTCTGGGAAGACCTTCACAGATGTAACCACGAGTGTAACCATCTCAATATACAATAATGTCAAGCCCTGCACGTAGAAAATGCGATACGTTCAGCGGGGTTGAACCTAGTGAGCGCTAAAAGATTTATGTAGCTAAACCCCTGGAGGTAATTCGGGTTGAAGGTAAAATAACACGAGGCTAATGACAACAACAACAAATCAAAAGATTAATTGAGCGTACCAGTTCTAGCGGGGTGCATTTACAGCCCCTCCAAGTCTATCGAGGTCGACACGTTTCTCGGTAATCAGCTGATTTCTCTACCTACATGAAACATTCATCAAATTTCGACAATCAGCGAACACAGAATGGGCTTAGCAACACAGGAATTCAAACCTCACTCAAACTCTTCACAACTAGACGAAATTCAGGTGCTCAAAGGAACTGGCGTCATGTCATGAATGCGAAGTCACATTTCCCCAAGCAGAAGCGGCACTCAACACACTTATCACTCCTACTCGTACGAGCAATGGAAACATAACCTAAGTCCAGGGTACAGGAGCGTAATCCGAATTCTGAAAACATCACTTCCAACGGTTCACAAACCCAGAAAATTACCGCTCAAACGGCACCAAGAAACCCAACCCAGGAGTGAGAGAGAGAGAGGAAAGAAACGAATAGAAGCTAACAACAAAACCGAAGAAAAATTCGATCGACGCCAGAGACCAACACAACGTCGCGCACCTTCTCCTGCTCACGGAGCAATGTCCTGGACTGCCGAGCCATGAGATCATCATCGTCGTCGTCGTCGTCGTCGCCATTTCTCGATAGCTTCCGCATTCACAATCCTCCATGGTAGCTTCGAAACCGGCACTACTCTGAGGTCACCTCGACGACCCCAACTAGCGCACAGGTAATCGTAAACGATCGACTCCCTGCCAGCACCATCCTCGGATGAGCTTGGCTAGAACTTAGTCCTGGCACCGCATTCCCCGGTCGAATTCTCCGCGCTCAGCCCACGAAACGAGGAGCGGCGAGAAGCGGCCCCGTGAATGCCCAACAGAGAGTGAGTGAGTGAGTGAGTGAGTGAGAGAGATGGCGTAGCGTTGGCGCCTCACCAATTGCTTCACGAAAGCATTCCTCTCGTGCGGATCACGCCCCGGCGTCCGAGACGGTTCGGAGGCACATCGGCACCCTCTCCACGCTCAGCCGCACAGGGACTCCGTTCACACCGGGGCGAAACTGGAATTTTTTCGGGAGGAATCGTTGCGCTCCATGTGTCACAGTAAAGACACGTGGCATAAGCGATGATCTCGCTGGCGAACACGGGTTTCAAAAGAAAGGGGGTGGTGTGAACACGTTAAAGACTTTTTTTCTTTACTTTTCTTTGCTTTTTTTTCCTTCCTTTCATTTTCTAATTATAAGTTATTGTGGTCAAATGGGGAGGTGATGGATTTCTACATGTGTGACGTATTTTTTATGGAAAGATTGTGGAACGTGATTATTGTTGAGGAGGAGAGTTTATTTCAAAGTTTAATAAGCAAGGACTACTTTGGACCACATGAGCAAATAATGGTGGTTGTATCATAGTTGGTAAATGTATAATATGAAATTGCGTGATGGGCAATTGGTATCAAAGCCCACCACCTCTCATGTACCATGGAATTGTTGTAAATATTGGTAAAGTTCTTGTATATGTTAATTGTATGAGGTGTTTTTGTCATGTATGTTGTTACTTTTTTTATATACATTGGGAGAAGCAAAATATTTAAGTCAATAAGTGATAATATTAATTTTCCACATCAAAAAATTATGTTATAATTTTTTAATTTTTTGTATATAAATTTTTCGAATTAAAAAAATACCAAGAGTACATACAACTAGTGGTCAAATAAAATATAAATTATTAAAACCTGCAGAAGTTTTTGTAAATGTGCTAAATGAATTAATACTTTTATTTTTTTGGATACTATTTCTATTAGCCTTTAACTTATATTTACCTTGAAACAATGATGAGTTGCTAAAATGACAAAGAAGGGGTAACTCCAATGCAATGAAAAAAAATATTAACTTCAATTATTATAACAATTCGATTAATTTTCTATGATTTAGATAAAATTCAATGACAGCTCTTATTTTTTATTCTTCTTTTTTTAATTGAATTTGTTATTATACAATATATAAACACAAGAGTTGTTACAAGGTATATTGCACACAAAGAAAAAGATTCATAATTTTTGGTATTCTCAGAGTACTTTGGCTACTCCAATAATTATAAATGTATTATAAATTATAAATTTTGATAGCTTAACTGATGAGCTTAGCTTTGAAGATTTCTTGTATTCATTACTTTTTATCAAACTGGAAAGTTATAAAAACTATTAGTTGAAATTCGATTATATATCAATAAAAGCATTTATACATCATGGAAGCAATATTCTTTAGATGGAAATTATTTACTTTCAAATTAGAAGATATCCCAAAACAGAAAACCATGGTCTCTGTGAATCAAATTGATTCTGCACAAATTCAACATCTTTACATGCATAATGCATTCAAAAAATCTCATATGTGCAACATAAATTTTGTACAACAAGTGCTCGATTTTCTCTTTCTCTGAATACAAGTTCCTATCATAGTTTCATTGATAATTAGATTGCAGGGATATTGAAAATTCCAAACCCATATTCTAACAAACTTTTATTTAAAACAATCTAGCAACATCTCGATGTCATCAAGTTTTGTTTTATTTTATTTATTTATTTTATACCATAAAATTTCCAAATAAAACTGAATATTTTATGAAAATATTTCATTAGAAATATAGAAAAAATCAATTTACGTCTTGACTCAAATGACAAAAGTGAGAAATTAAAGAGTTGCAGCCTGGAAGGCAAAAACTGAACATAAAACAGTGTCAATTTTTCATTCATCATTCACCATTCATCCATAATTCATCCACAGTTCATCCATAGTTCAATTTCCCTGTCCTCGTCGTGTGTCGCGTCACATCGCGTCGGGCAGGGTCTATCGTCCGCTGCCGGGAGGTGACGCCGGCAGGGAAGACGTGACGCCGAATGAATTCAAGCGTGCTGTGGAGACGGGGCAGCGTTGTGTGTGTTCTTCTCCATTGTTTTGCAGGGCATCGTGGGCGTGAAGCGAGTGGGAGAGGGATCGTCGCAGTGAGGGCACACACAAGAATCATGGCCATGGCCGCTGCCCAAAGTTTGAGGGGCTCACGCCGCCACCTGCTGTCGTATGTCCGCTACGGCGGCTCCATCGCTACGCAGTCCGAGAGCTTCGTGGTCCGCCAAGGCTCTGCCAAAGTCTCCGATCGCGTCTTGGAAATGACCGCCATTGACGAGGACGGCCAGCGCCACCAAATCAAGGGCCTCACGGGGCACACGCTGCTGCGCACTCTCGTCGAGAGAGGGCTGTTCGACCCCGAGCGCCACCGCTTGGAGAATATCAATGCCTGCGGGGGCGAATGCGAGGTGGGTTTACGAGGGACATGACATTTGCAGGCTGCGTTTCAGGGGTTTGGAAGATTGCAAATGTCTGAAGTGTTAGAAATTCGATGCAGGAAGCAGTTTAGGTGTGTCAAATTTCGAGGATGTGAGTATTTCTTGGAATTGCTTAGGGATTTGCTTTATCGGATTGGGATGGATTTGCAAGTGAGGAGGCAGTTTAATGTCGTATTTTTAAGTCTTCGTGGAGATGTCTGTTTAAAGATTCTTTTTCATTGGACCCGGATTTTGGGTTTTACTGGAATCCTAAATTTCCCAGTTAAGTTGTCCTCTTGTACGAGGTCAAGTAGACCTAATATTGTGCGAATAGCACCTGCGGATACAGCAGACGGCATTTTTAATGCTCCTCATGACGATATAGAAATTCGAAGCATGGTTTTGTTTGTGATGCCCTGAAAACGCTGCCATCATTATAATGTGTGCTAAGATTTTGCATTGTTAACATTTTACCTGAAAACTATACGTATTAAGTTGAAACTTTGTTTTCTTGTGGCCTTCAGGTCAGTATCGCTAATGAGTGGTTGGACAAGCTACCTCCCAGATCTGAAGATGAGCTTGAAGTCTTGAAAGACAAGACGCATGCGAAAAAAGCTGACCCACACGCAAGGCTGGGTTGTCAGATCGTTCTTGAGCCAGAGCTTGAGGGCATGGTGGTCTCTATCGCTGAAGAGAAACCGTGGAGAACTTTGTAGTTCACCCCTTTACTTGTTGTTTTGCAATCTTTTTATGCTCTTGCTAGGTGAATCACTCATGGCAGTGATTGTTAGTCAAGAGAGGTTAGAACATCTCGCGGTATGTCCTTGAATGAGAGATGTAAGAGATGTAAGAGCTGATTCTTGCATTAGTTCGGACTTTTGTCAGCATTCAGAACTGATAATGAATAATGCTTCACGAGGCTCTTTCTAACGGAAAGCCTGAGTTTTGAAATGGTTTCTTGTGCTGGAGGAAGCACTTCCAATTTTGAAATTAGAGTTTATTGATCTTGGTATCGTATTTTAGCTAATAAACATTTCAAGTGTACAAGTACTAGTTGATGAGAGGAACCATCATCTGCAGGGGTGTTGTTCTTTCTCCTTGAAGTTTTACAATATCCCTACATCGACATCGAGTTAGTGAGTGTGTTGGCGTGTGTCAATGTTTATGTACATACATGAGAAACTTACCTTCTCTAGCACACATGTTCTTAGTTAAGTGGTAGTATAGAACATAGACTCTCGTTATATCAGGCATGTATCATGAGCAGATGTGCAACCTTGCGATTTAACTACTTCTGGAGGCACAGAAGGGTTTTAGTTTACTTTTCAAGAGTAGTAATTGCGCAGTTTCAATTGATGCGTTTACCTTAGGATCACGTATGTCATATTTTTTTCCATATTTCAAGCCAACGAATTAGCGATTTCTGCACAATGAATGTGTTCCTTCGTATAAAATTACAGGATGTAAGAAAAGAGCGATGAACACATTCAACACTCAACTTTAGATAATAGACATGGGTTTCACAACTTACATGTAATCCAATTTCTCCAGACATCTTTATATTTCTATTTCTTAATAGTTATTAAATCCTTCCTCAAAACCAAATTAACAATGAAAATTATGATAACTTTCGATTTTTACTATTTTGTTTCAGTTCTATATTCATCAAATAGTTGTGTCGAACTCGAAGCTTCATCTATGCCACATCCTTCAGCTCTTGGTCTCGAGATAGACTCAAAATCCACATCTGTGACCGTGGAGGTAGGTTTTCCGAGAAGCTGAGGGAACCAAACCCACTTGGACACGGTCATAGAAGAAAGCCCCTGAGACCGCCAAACCACGAGGCTTCGAAGGGCGATGGTGTGTGTGTATTAGGCGGAGTGTGCAGGCGCCAAGAGTCTTCGCCATCGCTGTGAATTGCCCAAGCTTGAGAATCATTTAGTCGCCCGAGCCCAGCCGTGGATCATGGCTTCCACTGCTAAGGATGCGCGGGACCTCTTCAGTGCGATGCGAAATGCCTACTCCAAGACCCCGACGAGACTGAAGGTTTGTCGGTTTTTTCCCCTTGCTCTCATTGTGGCTCTGTTGTTTGCCCTACTGCTCGATCGGTGATGGTTTTCTCTCATTTTGGTGGTTTCAATCACTGTTTCCAGGAAGAAATAAAACTACCTGATCATTCCGGACTTTGCATTTTGTTCGTCTTGAGGGTTTGCATTTGACCGCCCATCCGAGTATTCCTGCGTTGTTGCGTAGGTGAACGACATAAAAGCCGTCGCTGCAATTCCAGTACTCAATCATCTTGCTGTGTCGTGCGATGCCATTAGTGGTTGAAATCTCTTTGTAACCGATGAAGCTCCGGTTTCGTTTGTGGCACTTTGCAATTGGGTTTTACAGGCATTTTAAGTAGGGTTTGTTGTGACCTAGTTGTAAAGTTTAGGTTTGATGGGGATGAGTTCGGTAGCTAAGGCTTATGTGATTCGGTCTAGCTACATTGTAGTGGGGAGCCCATGGTCCTATCACACCATTGTTTTCATCGGGTTTTAACAGGCAGACAGCTGCTTGTCTTCCATTTACCAGGACTGCTTCTACCCATATTGCCTGTATTATCTATCTTTTCGAACTTGCAGTTTCAACTTCAGAGCTTCTTGTTTAGCTTGCAATCACGCCATCGTCACCTGGAAGAGTTATCGACTCGCTTATCTATATATATATATATATATATATATATATATATATATTTATCGAGAGAGAGACAGGGGCTAAGTTTAGGGTAGATTCAATGTGTGGATAAAGTCCTTCGTTTTTTAGTTCCACGCCTGCTTCAAAGCTGTGAAGTTCCCGCGCATTAATGAATATGATCATCGACTCGGAGTTTTGCAGGTCATCGATGTGTACATTCTCTACGGTTTGATCACAGCATTCGTACAGGTAAGTTGCCTTCTTCCTGTTAGACCTTGTTTGTTGCAAATGTTCTTCCGCATCCTCGCTCTTGCTCGTCTCAGCCAAACATTCTGAAGCAGCAAACGTCAAATCATTGAATCAAATCGTTGTGGATGTTGTTTCTGTCTTGCAGGTGGTGTACATGGCAATGGTGGGGACATTTCCATTTAATGCTTTTCTATCTGGTGTCTTGTCATGCATTGGCACTTCTGTGCTTGGAGGTACGTCTTTCGATTTTCCTTCTTGTCAGATTAGGGGATTTCCTTTCGTGTCTCTATTATGGTCTCCGATTGATAACTTCTCGTTGGATCTATGATGATAGTTACGCATTGCACTCGAACATGCAGAAAAACGCTAATGTTGCTGTGTTCACTTTATGGCGAAATCGTATTCACCATTACTATTCTTGATCTTGCATTTGAGCATTTTACTTGTACAATTCTTCTTCATAGCAGCTCTCGTTTGCTCCGGGTACTGCTTCTGATGTGCTTCTGTTGTTGGAACAGTATGTTTGCGGATGCAGGTGAATCCAGCCAATAAAGAATTCAAGGTTTCGATGATATACTATTCCTATATAGCAGTGTGTTCCGATTGAAATGATTGTTACATGTCTTGCGCTTGCTTGTTCAAGATGACTATTCAGTATTGCTTATACGAAATCCTCGATTGTTTGCGCAGGATCTCCCTCCGGAAAGAGCGTTTGCAGATTTTGTTTTGTGCAATCTTGTTCTCCATCTGGTTATTATGAACTTTTTGGGTTAGCCTAAACCTGGAGCCCTTCAGAAGGTGTCACCTACGTTGCATTGTAAGACTTGACGGAGTTCTTCTAGGCCTGAACACTCACTTTTTTCATCACAATGTTTAAATTCTACCGACCAGAACTCTGTGATTGCTGTCTTGATTCCACATTTTTAGGGTTTGCTCCGTTTCACTTTCTGGTTTTAAGCACAGCGTTCTCTCAAAGTCGAGAAACATATTGACAGCACTGTTTGTTGTATGTGAATTGACTAGACTGTAAGGGGTCTAAGTTTGACTAGAATCTAAGGGTCTTTTTTGTAGTGAATTTAGTTGTTTATCATGGGCTTGCTTTCTAAATACTCTTGGAGAGATTGCATAAATGTTAGAGGTTCTAATTTAACAAGGTTCAGAACTCCTTATCTTGCTTTACTGCTAAGACCTCACATCTGATTCTGTAGTACCAGTGATGGTCTGTGACATGAATCTGTATGCCTCTTTGCTTTGTTCCATCTCTGGTTTTCTATTATGTAATCTAATCAAGCAACAAAGTGGGGTTGTTAATATCTTATGGATAACATGAAGTTTAAATCTATGGTAGTCCTGGCACTGTTAATTTATAACAAATAAACATAAACTAATTGTTTGAAGCGAATAAGGCTCTCATCAATGGTAAATAGTAACGTGGAGGTGAATATTTGTTTAACGTGCACACATACCTACAGGCGCACTATTTGTTCACCTACAGCCAAAGAAATGTAATTAAGATCTTAACTGGAAATATATATCTTCTCCTTTTATGAATTTTTTAAAGTCTAAATCCGTGACTTTCACCCGAAATTTCACCCATAATTATTCAATTAAATTAGTTAATTCTTTCATGAATCTGAAAATATTTTTGTTCGATAAAGAAATTCTTAAGAATGTCTGAAGAAATCCTAAATTGAGATGTACATCACTGTCCACTCACACTGATAAGAAACCATTGTCCTGCGTGCATTGGCTTTACCGCGCTACCTCACACGGAACATATCACTGCAGCGTCGATCGACAGATATTTGGAGAACACAAGCAGCGTCGATCAGAGCTCCGGGCGCCACAAAACGCAACACGCAAGCAGTGGGGAGACCCAACGTCGTCGCTAGCGACAGTGGCAGTGACCCGATTCTCCTCGACTTTGAAGTCCTGGCGCACGGAACCCACCCATCCAACGGCCACCATTGTTCCACACCCCCTTATCCTCCCTCCTTCTCCACGCGCCATCGTCCGTTCCTCTGATCAGCAATCGATGAAGCAACCATATCACTTGCGGTTCGTTTTGTGGTCTGATGGACACTGCAGACACGTTTCTGGCACGGGATTCAGTTGTTTCGGCTTCGAATTTGGCGCTTTCTGAATGTCCCTGGTTGATGTGAGTGAGATTTCCAGAGGGCTTTGAGTTGGTGTGGTGTTAGTTGTGGTGAAGGCAATTTCTGGAATCCAGTAGCCATGGCTGCTGCTACGGCGTGCGCTTCAACCGCGCTCGCAGGTCGCTCCTTGCTGCAGCTACAGAATGAGCTCGTTCGCAAAGAGGGTGCTGTCAAGTGGACCACAGGCGCGATACGGAGCCAGAGGAGCGTGCAGAGGCCAGCTTCTGGTAGCGAAAGCAAGCGGTAAGGAAGAAGTCTCTGCATAGTTTGGTACATTGGGTGGGCGCTGGTTGAATTTGGTGAGTGAATTGTTTAATTGACGTGAATAGCAATGGCAGGCAGTGCCAGGATAGGATCAAGGGCATCGGATCCCTGTCAAGTGAGACAGGCCCTTCCTTTCTGTCAAGTGAGGAAGAGTTTGGAGCTGGAGGTTATACGAACGAGAATGATGGACTTTCCTTCGACCCCGAGACTTTCACCAGGAATCTAGCGCTAGAGGTCACTCAGAGCCGATTGGCAATGCTTGCGTCTGTAGGTTGTCTGACTCCGGAGCTCCTCGGTCGGAATGGCGTGGAATATGGTCAAGGGCAAATTATGGGGGCAGCCCTCGCTTGCCAAGTCTTAGTAGTGGCAGCTCTCGAGGGGTTCCGTGGCGCTGTGGGAGAAGAATTGGGTGATATGAGTCCTGCTTTTGACCCATTGGGCTTGGCTAGTAATTCCGACACCTTCGTGGATATGAGTGTGAAGGAGATCAAGAATGGACGTCTCGCGCTGGTTTCGTTGCTTGGATTCGGTGCACAAGGTATTGTTACAGGTAAGGGGCCGGTACAGAACTTGATAGACCATGTCACAGATCCCTTTGCCAATAACCTGTTGGCGTTCGCTACGAGTTCCGCTCTTGGAATTGCCGCCCTTGAACCCGTGCTGACGCGCACGTCATTCGCGACCCTCTTTCTCACTACCCTAATCCAATGGGGAAGACCTCTGTATGCAAAGAACGAAGTCGTGAAGAGCTTGGGCAAGATCGGCACTGCCGTTGCATACGGGTGTCTCACCGGGATTCTGCTCAGCCGATGGGCAACTTCAGGACACTTGCCCTTGAGCAACCTCTACGAGTCTTCAATGTTTCTCTCTTGGTGCTTCTGTACTATTCAGATAGTCCTCGAGAACCAAAGCAAGAACGAATGGATAGGTATAATCACTGCCCCGAGCGCGCTTCTCACGAACGCATTCGCAACCCTAGGGATCCCCAAGGATATGCAGCAGTCCACTGCTCTAGTCCCCGCCCTCCAATCCAACTGGCTCATGATGCACGTGTCGATGATGATTTTCAGTTACGCGACGCTCATGATCGGGTCCCTGCTCGCCATCGCTTTCCTTTTCGTGGATACTAAGGAAGCCAGCCTCGAGTCGCAGCGTGGGAGATTAGGCCAACAGCTGGATCATTACAGTTACCGCAGCATTACCCTAGGATTTCCTCTTCTGACCATAGGCATTCTTTCCGGAGCAGTGTGGGCAAATGAAGCTTGGGGCTCGTACTGGAGCTGGGATCCCAAGGAAACATGGGCACTCATCACCTGGCTCGTCTTCGCAATCTACGTCCACACGAGAATGAACAAAGGCTGGGAGGGGAAGAAGCCGGCTATGGTGGCTGCCGGGGGCTTCTTCGTCACGTGGATCTGTTACTTGGGCGTTAACTTGCTGGGAAAGGGATTGCACAGCTACGGGTGGTTCTCATAGAATGAGCGTGAATTTGTAGAATTATGTTGTGCCATATTAGAGTTAGTACGAGAGAGCCTCATGACGGTTCTATCCAATTCTTTGATGTTCGACTGAATTGGCTTGAAGGGTGTGGTGAAGACCATTCAATATGACATGTGTACGCCTTTCTGTGGTTCCACCATAATTGTAGCTGCTTGGATACTGCAATGATCGCAATGAGAGGAGCTTTTACTGGATGTAAGTTTGTTTCTGGAGGATTTCGAAGTACAATCGATGCAAGAGAGTTTAGTGTGAGAACTATCTGAGATTAGTTTACTCTGGGTTTTGCGGTGGATGGTTGCGGAGTCGAGAATTGAATGTTTGCTGACGAAGACCATGGAGACTGAAGTGTAAAATCGTAGTCAGGTGGAAAGACGGGTTCCCTTAGGCCCTCAAAGCTAACAGCGACTAATGGGTTGTAATGAATAGCATGTCTGAGCGACCACCGCTTTTAATTCAGCATTTTTCATGTGGATAATTGCATCCATAACATTTCCTTTGGCATATTACCACAATGGATAATGTTTTTTTGTGTACAACAGTATGTTTCATAAAAATGATTTGTGCGGTTCATTTGGCATGGAGTAACATTCTCTGTACTTGCGTGAACTTCAATTCGTACATGCAGGACTTGATTGGACTGTGCGTTGGAGAGGGTTTGATCTCTGCCTCAAGTCTCGCCGATGAATTTTCAATGAATAAAACTTTAGGGGACTCTGGGTTCATGTTAGAACTAGCTCAATGCTACCCGTTAAAGAACTCCGCTACGAGGAGTGATACACAGAGGTTACACCGGAAGTGACTAAGTGACAGATTGGTAACATGGAGAAGTGGTTCCTATTTTGTACTGAACTTGGGGTGTGAGCAAAAGCTCTGGGATTTTATCCAGACTTGACACTGGTTGCGGGTAGGCTTGTCAACATCATGTCAATGGTTGTTTTACTCAAAAGACAGGTACCACTTAATTGTTTGTAAACACGCGCTTCTCGCTGCCTATCGTTACATGGCCTCTTGCAATGGTCTAATTGGAATCCTTTGGGTCGAATCCCCTGGCAACCTTCGACAACCCCAGAAAAGAAGCAATGGGTCGCAAACTCCAGACTCTCAACATCAAGCACACATGGATGTGTCGTGAGAGGAACATGCAGACGAAGGTGGTTCCTCCTGGGCCTTGCACATCCAAGCAGCCCGTTGTTCTTCCGCAATCTGGATAGTTGGGTTTCACTGGAAGAACGCGGTGTTAACAGCCCACCATGCGCGCCAGAGTTACTTGCGGGGAAACTGCGAACCCCACCGCTTCACGCAGCTTCCCCTCTCCTTTGGTAGAGGACAGGAATCACCCATCCCCCACTAGTCCTCTGACACTCTCATGACACTGCAGAACATCTACCGATAGCCACCTCGGCACCATATCCAATTGATGCCAATCCTCCACCACTACCAACATTCGTTGGACCAAAACTTCTCGTGCGTTGACGTCGAAGAGATAGACTACCGGAAAATCCAGTGCAGAATGCGTTAGATGGCTGGATGAGGACGCAAGCATCCGATATCCGGACACCGACGTTAACCCGCCCGACTCCCTAAAAGGAGCCTCCAGGTTGGACTGCCGATTTCTAGGTCACAGGACACCCAGCCCTAATTTTCTATATTCCAGGTGAAGGGTTCATGCAAGGTCTCTTTCACTTCCATTCTGCTCAGCCCCTTGTGTCCGTGCACCTCCCCTGGCGGCCACACTTGTGAGTAGGCAACCGAGTTTTGAGTTTGAGGTAAGTCTGGCTATGATGCAATGTTGATGTGAGTAGAAGGGAATCCTACTCCTGAGGGGACACAGGCCGGCTACGGTTTAAGGGCGGCGGAGAAGGAATCCAAGGCGGATTGAAGCAATGGCGACGAAGAATTTCTTCGACTTGCTTGGCGATGACGAGAACGAGGATCCATCTCAGGTAGTGGTTCGGGCTAATTCTATCCCGGTGGAGGAGAAGAAACCTGCTGCCGACAAGAAGAAGCCTGCTGAGCCTGCAAAGTTGCCAACCAAACCTGCCCCCCCTTCTGAGGCCGGTATGTTGCTGTCCGTAGTAGACATTGTGTGTGCATTTAGCCGGTTGGACTCTACTTCGGTAAAGCACCGTGATGTTTTAGAAAGAAAGGCTCCTCCTTTGTGAGCTCTACGTTATTTTGCCTTCTTTTACTGTTTCTGGTGCCTCCTTCGGTATGCACTTCGCCTTACTGCTAAGTGTGCATGATATTTGCTAAATGTGCCATTGTACGTCTTTGGGGCTTGTATTTTTTTGACTTTTAATTTTGGGTTTATGTGATTCCCATTCAGTGAGAGACGGACAGAGAGGTCATCAGGACGGCTTCAGGGGTGGACGTGGCGGCGGCCGCGGTGGAAGCCGCGGTGGCCGTGGAGATAGCGGCGCCCCCCGTGAAGGAGGGGGTTACAGGGAGCGTAACTTCAACAACGAGCGGGGTGTCACCCGTGACGCTGACGGTTTCGGTGGTCCTCGAGCCTCGTATGGAGACAAGCCTCTGCGTATGGAGAATGGAGAAGGCCGCCCGTACGACGGAGGTCGCAACAGTGGCAGTCGGCGTGGCGGTCGTGGTGGGCGTGGGTATGCCGAAGGCGAAGAACGCCCCCGTCGGCGGGAGTTTGATCGCCACAGTGGCACTGGCAGAGGGTGAGATAGTTTACTTGATTAGGTTGCGCTGGTGTTGTCGCAGTTTCTGGCTGTAGACATGTGAAACCATTTTAGAAGCTAGGGTAATACTAGTATGCCTTTCAAAGCGTAATCCTGCCGTGGTATCTATTTTCACCTAGGGTTCTTGTTTTCAGAAACGAGACTGAGAAGAGGGCAGGTGCTGGCCGTGGCAATTGGGGAACTGAAGTCGACCCCACTCTCATCCAGTAAGTGGAACGTGCTGATAAACTTTGATTGTACGAGCTGTAGTTTCCCACATTACGTCCGACTGAAACGTACTTTGAGTGCAGGGAAACTGTTGAGGTTGCGAAAGACGAGGAGAAGCCCGCTGTTGAGGTTGAGGGAGAGGAAAAGAAGGCCGAGCCTGAGACAGCTGCTGAAGGCACCGCTGAAGCTGCTGCTGAAAACAAGGAAGAGGAAGAAGAGGATAACGTGAGTACTCAATTGCAGTAATGTCCATTTTGCAGTGACACTTCGATGCCTTGTGATGTTCCAATGTTGTTTTCGACTGCTCTGGTGCCCAGCGGCAGCCTAAAATGTTCTGAGATGTCGGCATGTGATTGTGCTGCAGGAGATGACCTTGGAGGAGTATGAGAAGGTGTTGGCCGAGAAGCGCAAGGCTCTCGAAGATGCCAAAGCTGCGGAGAGGAAGGTGGAAGCCGACAAGGAATTTGAGAAGATGCAGCTTGTCGACAACAAGAAGCGGGAAGAGGACATCTTCATTAAGCTGGTTAGTTTGTCTCTTCATCACATTTACTTCCGCTAGCCTCTGTTTACTGCGTCCGGAATGCGTACCCATTGACCAGAATCTTATAATGTGCTTTTTCTCTGCGTGTTTACAGGGTCAGGACAAGGAGAAAAGCAAGAGAGAGGCCGCTGAGAAAGAGGAGAAATCCCGCAAGGTTAGCATCTAAATAAATACTGGTCGGGAGTACAATTTAAGAACCTGAATGATAAAATCTGAAACTGATTTGGATGAGAATTTTAAGCAAATTGTTGTTCATTGCCTCTAGAATTGAATCGTCTAATACTGTGGACGTCATTTTGTAGCCTGTTAGCATCAACGAGTTCCTGAAGCCCGCCGAAGGAGAGAAGTCTTACTATCCTTCTAACCGTGGCCGTGGAGGTCGGGGTGGCCGTGGAGATCGCCGTGAGGGCGGTGACCGCCGCGAAGGTGCCGGCCGTGGAGACCGAGACTCTGGCCGTGGAAGGTTCGGTGGTGGTCGTGGATCAGCTCCAGGAGGTGCGTCTGCCCCCAAGATCGAAGACCAAGCACAATTCCCAACTCTGGGGGGGAAGTGATTGGGCCTAGCTAAGAGTGTGGGGTCGGCAGTGTGGGATTCACATGTATGAGCACTCGTGAGGGTGTCTGGCAAGTGTACCACCTGCCTGAGATATTTTAGGAAGTTTTCTGTCGGTGTAACAAAAGTGTAGTTTGCGGTGTCCAAGAAGCTGCCACTGGTTTACTCGCATCCTATTTCTATCCTTCTTTCTCTATGCCATCTGTCAAATCATCTCGGTTTGTAGTCACGTTTATGGCCAAATGTGATCCCTCCCTTACTGCATCTGGTTGTTTAGTTCAAATATCTGCAAGCTGGTCTAAGATTGGTATGATTTCAGCTTTAGAGGCTTTCATCAGATTTGGAAGGTCACAACTCTTTAGATAGATCACATTGGTAGCGTAGTGAGGGGAATGTTTTTGCACAAAGGATTCTGATGCAATGGTCAGTTCGAAGCCCCATGACCTACAAGTTGAGGGTAGAGTTCTTCTGAAGAGGGACGGGATACTGTCAGTTCCTCGAGCTGGTACAAACAATTTCTGAGATGAATTATGCAGATATTTCTTGTTAAACCACATTCTCCATCCCCTCCTTTTTTGATTACAAGCTAGAGTTTTAGTTTAACAACTCTAGCTTTCCGTTTGTAACTTTTTCCACGACACCGAGACTTATCTGTGGTAAACCTTAAACTAAAACGGAACTTCCAACGATTTCAATCAATCAGTATTTCCTACGTCACATAGCAAACAAGTCTCATCAGTCGATCGAACATGGAAATATTATTAAACTGACGTCAGCGTCTTCACAATCCCGTCAAGTCTAATTTGCAGAGAATTTTGAACCATATCCAGAAGTTGACACATGAGAAAATGCTTGAACGTTTATGAATGTGTAGACAGCCCTAGTAGTTCGTCTGAAAGTTTCGTACAGCAGCTAACAAGTAATCTTCAAATACTGAGAGGACCGTAAGAGGGCTTGTAGTAAGAAAAAAATAACATAATAAAACAGAAACCACGGATGTAGAGGAAAGAGCTTCCAATGAACAGCCCACCAAAACGATTGTCCTGAAGATCCCAGAGCAGCTGCTTACAATGCAGTAGAATTTTGCTCGTCACAACACGTCTGAAAGATCCACGTCGGATACATTCCACGTCATATACGTGACGTGGTCTCTGCCTGCCCTGGTGTGGGGGCCAGACGACTCCGACCGACAAGCAGCGAAGGGAGCTGAAGCGCATAGAGAGTCCAATGGAGCCGCAGAGTACCGTGACGCCACTTGGGGATGCATCCTGCCCCTTCCCTACGCACAGTTCTGCAAATCCTTGTGACAGCCTACAGTTCCATTGCCACCCAAATCACCGCATCCTCCCAATTCCAGAGGATCTTCGCGTCTTTCTCAATTTCGTTCCTGGAGGTTGTGAGGAGGCTTTGGATGGTGCGAGTGGTGCCCCTGTGAACTTTTTGCTCTCATTGAGGTGGGTTCTTCTTCTCGCTTTCCCTCTGTGCTTTCATGGCTATCTACGTTGCCATTAGCTCGATTGGTTGGGACTGATTGTGGTTATTCCTATTCTCTGTGGGTTTCCTTGGTTGCAACGACATTGCCGTTGTGGTGCTTAATATGGTTTTGTGGGAGTTGGTAATGGTGGTGGCGATTGTTGCTTTCCATTTGTGGTGATGGTGGTGTGTATAGGTGATTAACACGGGAGTTTGTTACAGAGAGCATTTGTGTGAAGTTGGTTTCGTTAACATGTTTGAGTGTTCGTGAGTTCTGGTGCGTGAGAATTGCCAATGTGTCGTATTAGGATGTCTTGTAGTGGTTTCCACATCGTATCGGTCGAATTCGGAGTGTTCTTGGGTCATAATTCAGGTTTTATTTCGGCGTTTTTGTGTTTAAACGAATAGCATTCATGTTTGTTGAGGACTTGCAATGTCATCTTGAGATTTGAAGTGGTGTTTTGCTTTTCGCTGCACCCTAGCTCATGGTGAAAGGATTGGGTTGTCATGGTATGGTTTCTGATGCGATGTGCTGATCACACGTGGTTGTATGCTTGATAATATTGATTAACCGCTGAGGAGTTCGTGCCATCACAATTTGTGATTATCAACAAATTGTCTTTATCTGGAAAGTATCTTGTAATGTATATGGCTGGATTTTTATAGAATATGGAAAAAGTTTTTATTTAAAAGTGGACTCTGCGTATTGAATCAGATAACAATTTGAGATTATGGTCTATGCTAAAAGGAGTGAACGGTATCCCTTTTCTGCAGGAAGTGAACTTCCAAGTGCTATATAGTGGTATTCAAGAAGCAGGCACTTACGTTGGAAATCAAAGTGCTGTTAAACAGTATCCTAAGGTTCTTTAAGCATGATGTCAAAATCATTTTCTTTCTCTCCCTTGATTTCTGGTAAAACCTACGGCGCTATCCAGAACGTCAGTAACCATTCAGTTCGGGATGGTGGGCAGTTGAAAATGTTCTCCACCTCCTTGACCTGCTCTCAACTTTATCCCTCTACCTGCGTGCTTGCAGCCAAGCTTACCTGCATCGGAACTCGAAGTTGCAGATTTGTGTCCCTGCTTCAGCGACGTGGTAGCAATTCAGCAGATGTTAAACCTTTAAATCAACTCGCAGCTGCTCCGTTCAGTTTGTTTGGTTTGAACCGTGTGGTGTGTTATCATTCTGCTTTTGACCTCGAGGTTCCAATGCCTTCTTATTTTAGCGAATTACGCCAGCATAGAGAGAGTTTCTCGTTTAATTTTCTAGGTTATTTTTCCCTGCATTTCCATTTGCGATTGAGAAGTGAATATTGTCATCGCGTTTGATTTTTTATGTAGTACTTGGTCTTTTGCTTGACAGGATGAGTTTGCTAATAGGAACTCACAAGCTGTCTGGGTACGGAAGTCAGTATTCATCAACCTAGATTCTACGAATCTGAGAGCTATAAATGGAATGCTCAACATGTCTGCCACAATGCAGGAAGGATCTTCTCCCGAACCGAGAAGTGCACCAAAGTTTCAGCCTTTTCGACATCGACACGCATCATGGTTGTTCCTTGGTCTTTGCATATGCTTGTCAGCCGCTGTCGGATCCTTCGTCCCGCAATTATTGATTGGTAGTTCCCCTGCTCTTGCTGAAGCTCTGGCTAAGAGACCTCCGATTCCAACTGCTTCGAGTTCACGATCTCAACCTACAGAGAGTGAGGAATCGCATGGGAAGAAAGTTCATTTTGACTTTCATGTCACCGGTGAGAGGTCATGACCCCAGTTGGTGATGCAGAAATTGGTACCTATTCTTTCTTGCCTGGCATATGTTGAATTTTGCCGTGCATCCATAATTATGTCCATGAAGTCGGTCACAAGGTACTGGTAATTGCCAGTCGCCGTAACTCGAATGCTTTTAAACTTTACGGTATAAGATGAGATTCTCATTTCTTTTTGCTCTAGCTTTCCTCTTGACCGGTACATGTATCTGCCTTGTTCATTTACTCTTTAATCTTCTCAATTTTTTCTTTTCTAGGCCCATAACTTCTAGTCTTTGAGCTTGACATAAATTTATAGAACAGACAAATATTGGGTTCAAGTGAGGAGAGTATGATTAATATACCTGTGTATTGGCATAATATGCTTGTTAATGAGGGCTGCAGTCATATAATCAAACTATGATGTATCGTGGGCAGGAGTTCCGGGAGATGGAAGGTGCTTGTTCCGTGCGGTAGCCCATGGGGCTTGCTTGAAGAGTGGGAGGCCGGCTCCCGATGAAAGTACTCAACGTCAGATGGCTGATGAACTGCGTAACAGAGCTTTAGATGAGCTTATACGGCGTCGAGAAACATCCGAATGGTACAGCAACAACTCTATCCATTATTTTCCCTACCAAATTTTGTAGCTTTTGTTCTTCAATGAATTTTCGACTGCTGCTTGCCATCATTTAGTAATACAGCTCATGGGTTGAGCTCCAAAAAGCGTTTTTAAAGTATGCACGCATGGTAAGTGTGGTGGGACTTCAAAGATTTTAACAAAATATGTCATGTTTCGACTCTTTGAATTTGTGCAGTTTTAGGAGTGATATTCAGTGTTTCTTTTTATTAATATTTTCAAGTATGTTTCACGTGCATCTTTTCTATGATTACCATTACGTAATCCCATGTCTCACCGATTCAACGCTTATCTATGCACATTTATGTGAGATGAGCAAACTACATCATGAAAGAATCTGTTCGAATATAATGATTTGAGCACGTTTTGACTTTTAGGTTTATTGAAGGGGATTTTGACGCGTATGTTAGGCGTATGCGTCTACCCCACACATGGGGTGGTGAGCCTGAGCTTCTGATGCTCTCCCACGTTCTACAGTAAGTGTCTCATTCTGTCTTTCAAATCTCGTATCTGAAAGTGCTTTCTAGCATGTCATCTTTGATGGATTTGCCAGGAAAAAGGACTTCTTTGCATTTCTCTGTTGTTAATCAATTTCCCATGCTAACAAGGCATTTCTTTAATCACTCAATTACGTCTCATTGCTTGCTGAACTTAGGATGCCCATCACAGTCTACATGAAGGATAAAGGGGGTATTATCTCTATTGCGGAATATGGCCAAGAGTATGGTAACGATGATCCCGTTCGGGTCTTATATCATGGCTTCGGACACTACGAAGCTCTGCATTTATCGGAAGACAGGCAGAGGTCAAGGCTGTAAGTGATTTGTTAATGTCCTTCAAAAGCTACCTAAGGAGGGCATTAAACTAAATAGCCTTCACTCTGAGGCGTTGTACGAAGAATGTATGTACACCTTTTTATTGGCGCCATAGCGAAGTCCTAATCAGGCTAGAAATCTCGTTTGCTCTTTTACAGCGAGCGCTAGCTTTAGCAGTTTCGTGTCCGACTGGTTTGTTGGTATTTATAAAGAACAATGCCAGTTGGACATAAGATGGCAGATTAAAGCATGTGCTAGTTGTGCAGGTCTTATTACTCTGCCGGCTCCTTAAGTAAGTCCCTACGAAGGAAACGATGATATGGTGGTTTTGATGACATGTTTGAAATACATGGGTGCGCTTGCCATCATTTTATACTAGTCCGAAAGCAGACTAAACCCTCTATTTGATACGAGCCCCGGTTTTTCGGATGAAGAGTATGACGAGAATTTAGTTGCATATTTTAACTGAGCACTGGGATCACGAGAGTCACAACCGACAGCCATGCTTTTTCACTCGTATGGACGAATTATGCTCAAGGATATCCTTGAGGGATTTTCTAAATTGCTTCAAGATTTTATGAATGGATTGAATCAACCATGTTACTGCTCTGTGAAACAGCCAATTTCATCCACTTGCTTCAATATGATCTGGAGACATTTTTCCAGGGAGCATGCGGCGGATTCGGAAATTCGGATAATTTTCGATTTGAGTTTATGTGGCAACGGATTCGGTGATCCGAGCTTATGCACAGCAGTTGAGTACTCTGTTAGTGCTGTGTGAAGAGCTGCCTTGACCACAACAACCAATGGTTTGTCTAAAAGAATGTCATTAGTGTCGCAAGACATTATCTATATGTGCGCACTTTGTATTGGTAAAACAATTCAGGTACACTTGCTAGTGGAGTAGTTTTTTTCTGTTTTAGAACAGCATTGGCTGAGAAACTCACGTGAATCTTTGCCCATCGCATAATCGTGCGTGAAGCACATTCGCCAGTGTTGCCTCTAAGTCTCGATCCTGCTTTGATTTTGCAACTCGCGCACTTGTATTACTTTCGATGGTGCTCAGTATGAGTTGGCTGGTCCTGACGATCTTAAAAAGAGTAATATACACTTCTATCGCAGGTCCTTATCGCCTCTCACGCTTGCTCCTTTTAATTTCTGCACTGCTCTGACTTGCAGACAGTTCCGACCTACGATGACCAATTCCACTGAATAACTGAGTAAGAAACCCACTTGTCCAGTCGCACGAGCTTCGGTCACTTCCAGAAATTGACACTGCTTTTTGTTCTCATCCTGTGTCACTTTCCTAGGCTTCTCAGTCTTCGACATGTCTCTTCCAATCTTTCAAAGGTTCTACAGTTCCAGGACAATCCTGCGTCGAATCGACAACAGTAACAAACTACATGGTGCTGGAATTCAATCGCCAATGATGCAGACTCACTGATCGGTAGATCTCCATCTTGTTCTTGCATTCAGGTTGATGAATTAGGATACGTTCCCAACTAGTAGAAAAGGTTGGTGGAAAATTCTTGGATGAACGCAAGACTAATGACGGAGTATCAGCATGTACCAGCTGATTAGTATATGTTTATAAATGATGAGAATGTGTATATTTATACATTTATCAACACAATACTTGATTTTTATCAAAGCAAAGTATCAGATATAACAACAAAGATGTAACAAGATAATTATTAAAGAGTAAAAATATTCTACTAATAATTCATCCTTATAATTCTTTAAGTGGCCTTTCGAAAGAAAGAGATAACCACTATTTTTACAAATCTACAACCTTCCAAAAATAAGTTGATTAGCTACACAGAATGTATTAATAAAAGTTTTTAAAAAATGTATCATTTGTCACCTAGAGTTCTTTGGTGGTCCACCAATCTTCTTTGTAAAAATACAAACAAACAATACATATATATATATATATATATATATATATGATTTGTGTGGATAATTATATTTTCATAGAATCAATCATTAAGAATTCATATTTATAATATAAACTTTATTGCCAATAAAATTAAGTTCAAATGTATATATATAATGAACAAAAGATCTAATGCTTCAAAAAATAAAAATAAAAATAAAAAATGAACAAGAGGTTGTATTTGAAACTAGATATAAAAAATTTAAATATAAAATGATATATTTTTAACACAAAAATTCTAGCTCCTTTTACACAATGAATGTTAATATTTATGAGTATTTTGATGTTATTTCATTTTTCTGATTTAGAAGAGATTATTCCTAATTTCAATTATTTATCATAATTATTACACTTTGTTGTTTTTTCACAAATTCTGTTATTCATACTTAGTTGCTTGCATTATACAGTTGAAAATTTGCCCCTATTGAAACCATATCAAATCTTGGCTTTTATAAAAATAACGTGGATCATTTTGTTTTGTACAAAGCACTGCAGTGCATCAGTGCCTCGGAAGTTGTGGGTTCTACTTAATTGATACCAGATTTGTTGTGTCCAACAGTCCACCTGAGATGATATCAGTGTAAAAACTCACGATACGGTGTTAGTAATGATTAATATGGCTAAAAAAATATGTTAATTGTTGCAGTGTAAATTCAAGAACGATTGGAGTTGATACAACAAGAGCAACATGAAAGGAAGCTCAAAGGAAGCACTGCATCCCGTCAATGTGATAATTGTATGAGTAATTCTTCAGTAGGTACCAGCCGCCAGAATGAGACATGAATTTAGTCTTCGTTACACATATCTAGTTTGTTCGTGAAGATGAATTCGATTAGAAAGTGGCTTAAAATTCACTTACGGAAAACTGTTGAAACACAATGACCAGCTTCTATGCAAAGACAAGGACACTTGCTGGTGCAGTTTGTTACGAGGGCTAATGGCCGAAGAAGGGAAGAGACATTCGAATCATTCCCACGCCTAGTGAAACTTGAAAGGAACGCTGTAACTTGACAGGAGCATAACGTATGCTCAAGAGTGAGAGAAGTAGCTACACCAGTGATCTAATGGCAAACCAGACAGGCATCCAGATGAAACAATATGACGCCAACAAGCAGAAGACATCAAAGACCCTGTAAGAAGTAGAGTGCATCAGCTGCAGCTGCAGCAGGAGCTTCTGGTTCAAAGGAACCTCGTCTACATGACGACAGAAGCTCGGCACAGGGAGAAAAAGACGGGTGGTAGGCACCACTACGTGACAAGACACCACAGAGAATTCAAGTGACAGGTCTGATCTTGCTTATGCCCTAACACAGAAAAAAAAAGGTTTGGGAAATGACATCTCAAGTCACAGCTTCAGCAGCTGTCCAGCTTCAACGGCAATGCGTTCTATATTTCTATGCACATAGACCAACATGGCTTCAGAACATTGTTGTTGAAGTTCGAACATTCAAACTTGTATGAGCATCGAAAGATGAGCTGCTATCAGATGTATTACTGTACCTAAGTGTTGAGACTCGGAGCCACCCCGAGTTTTCGACGATCCTCCCAGCAAGTTAAGAGAATTGTAAATCATCACAGAATCTACAGTGAAAATTCGAAATTTATCCAGAAAATTATCATAATGAGTTCAAAAGGATCATACACTCAAGGTTAGATGAGGCTTTAAGCAATGCTGAATGATTCGAAACTTCCCTTCCGAATATGATCTGACAGAAATTCGAAGGTGGTACAAAGCAATGCCGTAGGTTTGTTTACACAAAGTTGATGCAATAGACATAAAACCCTAACATGCAACCATACATCATGATAAATTGAAGTACAGTGAGTTCACACATATGTCCCTATCCTCTGGAAAAAACGAAGAAATGAGCACAGCCAACTCCTCATCTCAAAACATGACCAACACTGATGGGCAAATCCAGCCCACAAAACCGACTCTCCTCACCTTCGACAGAAATCTTACGACCTAAGTGACTTCATGTGGCAAAAACCAGCCCCGATGTGGTACAGTGAATCGTAACTAACAATACGCAAAGCAGAAAGCACAATTTTTATGATTGCACAAGATCGGCTGATACTTGACGAAAGCCTCAGCAGCAAGACATAAGCATAACGGATGCAGGAAAGAAATGCAGTACAGAAAAACATAAGGACTGTCTTGGAGTAGAGGTAACATATCTTTGATTGGTCCTTAAATGGTTCCATAGATTGCCACATATGTGCTATTCAAGACATAAACCCCTAAGAGCATCTGCGACATACATATGTCTTCATCACAACTAGCCCCATACTAACCACTGGGCGAGGAATCTCCCTTCTATAAAAATAGGTTTTCATTGCCACATGTGAAATTTCCCAATGCAGCAATATCCGATCAATTCTATCATAACATCGTCTGCGCAGGCCCACGTCGGCACTCATTCAACATGTCAATGTAGAACTGGCACTTCCCAATATCACTGTTGTTGGCGTTCACGCAATCCTGGAACGCCTTCGACTGGTTGACACAAGCGTCAGCAGAAACAGGCTGTGCGAGCGGCTGGCCACCACTCTCGGAGGCTCCGATGTGCTCGTGCACCACCGTCCGCGGCCCCATGATGCTGTCGACGGCCCTGTTCGCCACGGCAGACCCGGTTCCGAACGCCAACCCTTGCGCAATTGTGCTCCCAAGACCAGCCAGCATCCCTCCTCCTTGACTCTGCTGGGGCACGGCAGGCGGGTGCGCTTGCCGCACAGGCGCAGGCGGAGGTGCCTGACGCGCCACGGGCCGAGGGGCTGGTCGCGACGAACGTTGGCGAGGCATGGCGATCTAATGCACAAATCCAAATACCCGATACCCAAAAAGCACAATTCGAAGGCACAATTCCAGAGAAAGAAGAAGAGAGAGATGGGCAGAATTCAATTACAGGAAAAAGAACGAACCCACCAACGATGGTGGTGACCGCAACTTGAAGGAGAGGGTGGCGAGAGCAAGAGCGGCGATGGCAACGACGCTGCGAAGGCTGATAGGGCAAGATTGTCTGGTTCGGGGGGCACTAGTGCGAGAGATGAGCTCTAGAAGCTTCTCACAGGCTAAGCCCCGAAACATCCGAGGTGGCTCTCTAGATGCTGATGTGGACATGCCACCTCACGTCATGCAGTGCCGTGGAACGCAAGCTTGTTCGGTGTGTGAGCAGTTTCAGTGAAGGTTCTCGAATTTGGACAGCATCAAAGAGCACATTATTTAGAAGATTGTGACATGGTGCAGATAAGTTGGCATTTGTGCTTGAAAATGACTCTAAAATGGCAGAGTAGAAAAAATAAAAATAATAAAAAAAATGTAATTTTTTTACACAATTGATTAATCAATTATTTACATAGTTAGTAATTAAGTGAAATAAATTAAAAGCCCATTAGTTGTATCAATAATTAATTTTGAAAGTAAATTTCTTGGTATTGGAAATTAAATTGGTATTGTGGGATTTTGGATGTAAACATATGCATATTTATGTTTTTAGAAACAAAATCTAACTAAGAGGTCTTTATTATTGGGGGAGAAGATAAGAGGTCACAACTTCTTAATCCCTTGAATAGTTGAAATTGGGAAGCTTTATTTATAGCTTTATACTCCAGTAAATTTGTTCAAAGGCAAGAAGAAAAGAAGATGAATTGGAATATATTTCTTTCAAAAAAAAATAAAATAAACACTATTGTCTTCTAAAATTTGCAGTAGGTCCAACTCAAGAAAAGGTTTTACAACAAATTTGATAAACCTTGTGAAAACTGATAAAATAATCAAGATATCACCTGTAACATTTAAACCTATAATTCAAAAAATGATTTGGTTATCTCATTGCCTCTTTTTGTTCTATACTATCTATAAAAGTCAAAGCTTTTAAAAGAAAATTTTAATTTTTCCATGTGGGGAACCTTTATAAATCTTTTACATTTTTGCTAAACAAAGAGAAATTTTGGATATGAAAATCTCCGAGTTTCAAATATTTTTATTGTATTTTATCATGTTTTACAATATTATTCTAAATATATTTGATGATATTTATAATAAATAAATAAAAAATTTATGTATATATATATATATATAAATATATATATAATTATTACTATTTTGGTTGGGGTATTTGGGTGGATTTGTTTGTTCTATTTAACTAGTTTACAATCAAATTAATTTTATTGTTTTTAATTATTGGTTATACAAATTAAATAAAAATTTAAAAATGTATATTTGTAAAGAAACTTTAATATTTTAATGAGTTTGAAAATTATATTTTTTGATCAGATTTATATCTTGTTACTTAAAAACTAAACTATAAATGTAACATGAATTAGTCTTCAAACTGTTCACAAAACTTGCTTAACTTATTTTTTATATAGACATGGAATCAAGTTCTGTTGTAAAGTTTCACTCAAAGAGATCTTCTAACATCAAGTGCCCAAAAGGGTAGCAATATGAATGTAACTTATAGCCTGTTTGATAGAAGTGACCAGATTTTCTAAAATTGAATGAGGAAGTTTGATAAATAAATTAAACATTTTAAAATGAAACTCAAAACCAGACAATAGAATTTTCAGTTTATAATTAAGAGTATCATATTAATTTTAAAATACATCAAAGATTTTTAAAAATAAAGGTAAAAATTAATAGATAAAAAATATTTAAGTTTCAAATAAATGAGACAAATATTCAAACCTATCAAGAGTTAATTTACTTAAAGATGTAGATTTCTTTTTACTTTTGCTTGTGTTGATATCTATCAATAAAATAGGTATATATATATATATATATATATATATTTCTTAGATTTATTGTTGGTAGAGTGTAAAATATAAGACTAATTGTAAAGAAAATATGCATATTTTTATTTAGTTAACTATATTTCTATTTTTGTTATCCAATTGATGACGTCTATTGATGTCCATGTTCTTTGTTACCCAATTCATGATGTCTATTGATGTCCATGTTCTTTATTACCCAATTGATGATGTCTATTAATGTTGTATTTTTTTGTGATGTTCACCTTCTTTTTCTTCTTCTAATTTAATTATGTTCATACTTAATGTCTTCCTTCAATTTTACGTTCTCCATGTCTTTCGTCCATGTTTTTTGTGTCCTTCGTTCTCTCCTTTCTCCATCTTCAACTTCTCATTCTCCCTATCTATATTGCTACCTCTCTCTCTCTCTCTCCTCCCTTGTTTCCTTGTCTCCCTTGTTCTACCTCATCGCTCCTAGTCTCTATTTGATGTTCTTCTACCTATTCTACATGAATTGTTATATTTGGATTGTGCTTGGAGTTAGAAACTAAATTCATATAGTTTTGCTTAAGTTTTTATTTGGACACTTGGTGCCAAAACTATCATTAATTGATGACAAATTTTGTTTCTTATCTAACATAAAGTGAGGGACCCAATGCTAGTAAGGTGATAATTAGCATTTATTATTTTTAATATTTTTCATACAATCATTCTATGATTTATTACATATATATTAAAAATAATTGAAATATAGATATTTTATAAATTTTTGCATGCAAGTATAATAATTCAAATTTTATTATTTATCTATTTATCACATATTATTGACTTTACAAAGAAAAATTTGAAGAATATAAAATTCTATAGTAACTCATGAAAGACTATAGGAATTTTAAACAGTTTCATAATATTAGGAAAATATAACAAAAACTACTAGAATATTATTTTTTAAAAATAAGATAATTTAGAGATTTAATAAAACTTTGAAAGTTTTGAAGATTTTAATAAATTTTAGAAGTAATACAAAAAATTATAAATATATCTAAAATATCATAATGTTTTTTTTTTTTTTTTTTTTTTTTTTACATTGCAATGTTTTGCTTGTTTGATATAATTTTCATTTAATTGAACACTTGTCAATAAATTGATTTGATTCATATATAAATAAACCAGTTTTTTTCTTAAGTTTGAGGTTTAAAGAAGGGTTATTATTATTATTATTATTATTATTATTATTTTATCTATTAGTTAAGTTTTTTAATTTTATTTTTATTTTTTTATCAATATACCTGAAAATGTGTTTTTTTTACAAGTTAAAATCTTTATTGTTCTTTATTTGTAAGGTATTATTCAACTTTAAAAAGAATTACATCACATTTGAAATATTTTAAAACTTCAAGTACTCCTAAAACTTTATTAAAATATTTTAAAAAATATATTGGAATAATTACTATTTATTGTAAGTCTTGATAATCTTATATTTAAAATTTCACAGTTATTTTAAATCGTTAATTTTATACATAATATTAGTGTTTGATCAATTTTAAGAAATTACCAACTATTATACAACAAATTTTACAACTTTACTGTTTTAAAATTTCATGTATTATTTATCTCCAAATAAACATTATATTGTATTCATATCAGAGAGTCTAATATGGCACCTCTCTATTTAGTAACATAACTACTCTTATAATGTCATAAATCTATTATTCTCATTGCAAGATGATTTTCTGTGTCTTCATAAATAACTCATAATTTTATAAATACAGAGAATGTACAAAGTCGCTACCTTTTTAATGCCTAGGAGCCGTGTTCTTTGAGTGGCTGGTGTGGTCCATTCAAAGATTACCCCCAATTTACAGCTGTGTTATCAGAAGGTATGAATACAACCCGAGAGGAACAAGGTGTTCTGAAAGGACATGGAAAATTGGTCCCGAGCTATTTTAAGATCACATGACAAGATCTTGCTCATTGTCATACAGAATTAGACAGTTGGCTTGGCACGATCATCTTGCGTTACGTAGTGATATTTGTACACTTGGATTACCAGATCTAATTCTTAACAAAACTCACAACTTATTGCCCTCCTGGCGCACATTCAATAGTGATAGGTTGTATCATTTGTTCAGAAACATCCATCTCTTCTCCTTTCGACGCAAGTAGCTTCTGGACTAGCAATAGCTTATATCTGTGGATGTGGCACTTGAATATGTCCAAGGCGGGATCAATTGAGTTGATAGCAGTTCAGTGAACTCATAATCAGGATTCAAGTAGGTTTTTTTGGAAAATAGTCTGATTAAATCATCAGACATAAAGCTGGATGAAGAGGCGAACGCCTTAGCATTTTTTGTTGCTGTAGATGCGAGAATCATTTTCTGACAGCTTAGCTTTCTAGGGAGATAGGTATGAAGAGGCAACCGTTTCGTATCAGACTAGGTGTCAAGAGAATATTGCAGAAGTTTTGAACACCTCAGTGCGAGTGGATTGATTACTGTGCCTTAGCTACCAGTCACCATAGCGTGACGGCATTATTCGGAGAGGCGACGCGAGGTCTTCAAGATGGTTGACACACATCCCTTTTGTTGACGTAATTCTCTGCAGATTGAGTTCGGGGTCTCGTTGACATTCCGACGCCGTGTGTCAGAATTCATTATCCACTCCTGATGCTTTCATCTTGCTGCACCAGGTAGCTGCTATGGTTGACCTGTTCTCCCAAGTCAGTCCTCAACTTCAATGATGCTATCCAAGCATATCTAGACTTCAAACCTACACCACACAAAGTAGCAGCACTCGAAAAGCCGTCCCATACAGAGGGATGACCCCAAACACCTCTCATTACAGTTGCTCACTGGCAACTTACACTCGAAATGCTCACTGTTGAAATCCTCACTAGCACGAATAGAATACAGTCGTCTATGTGTGATACAATACCTCATAACATACTGCCGAACTCTTCACCCAACTTTCCTATATTGATGACTGCTGAACAGCCACAATAACATGGTGGACACTAGGAGGATGTGGGAAGTTTGGCTTCAGATACGAGAACCGCAAACAGTATCTCAAGGATGAGAATTGAAATCTCAACTTTCTATAGCCTCTTTGAAGAGCATTCCCAAGTCGGATTTCCGCTCAGTAATGACTACAGTACTCAACAAGTGGTCTCTCCTGATTGTAGTCCACTCCATGAGTGTTCTCGCCAGTCTAAATTAAACGTCATTCCCTTGTGTTGTGGCGTAGAATGGGGCCTTTGAGCTACGGCCGAGCAGGGAGATAAACAATATCCACATCCAGAACGCCTCCAATTGTCCTCTTTGGAGTTTGGTAAACTTCGCTACTTATTTGACTTAAGAAGTTGCAAACTTTCAAACACTGTCAGTGCATCCGAACACTTAAACAAAAGAGGAAAAAGGTATCCTTCTGCCAACAGTGGGTGAGTCATAATCTATTTGGCCTGAAATTTGTCATAAATTATTGGCAACGTCACCTTTTCGGTGTACTAGCAATATGCTGGAAGTGCCATTTTTTTATGGAGCTTGCAACGACATCCGCTATGTCCAGATAATGGACCTCGATTGGGTGCAACTGGGTAGGCGATCATGGAGATATAATTGTGTTGCTGTCAGAGCTAGAAGTCTGCTGATCTTATGTTTGTGCACGAGTACATAGCACAACTTAGCCAACCTCCTTGCCCGCACCGCAGTTCAATAAATTGTGCGCTTTTAACTTGTTTGTGGTCACACTTCTCTGACAAGTAGCGCACGTATAGAATCTTATGTCACACAACCAATCTAAGTTTTTGGAATGGTTGTTTTATTGCCCAAACAGCACAGTCCACCAACAAATGCAAGTATAAAACATCTAATCAGATAAACATACTACTTCCAAAATTACAAAGACCACAGAATCTGAGTCAGAAAAGATTCGGCGATGACGATGATGAGCACAGAAACAACATTCAGAGCAGAATCCATCTGCTTGCATAGTTTTCTCTCTTGTTCAATGTCTCATCAGCATACACCAAAGACGCGCTACACGCCAATTTTGACCTTGACATCGTCGTCGTCGTCTGCTGCGTGTGACTGTATTACTGTAATACAAACAGAATTGATGTTTTGGCTTGTAATTCAGTTTCTAAGCTTTAGCTTACACATCCGACTGCATGATTTCCAGCACTGTTTTCAAACAATGACATGGCCAACGAGGTTGAAACGATCAGGGTGGATCTGGTTTGTGGGATCCATTGACGAGAGCGACGGCTCACAGCCAGCTCTCTTATTATGCACACACACTGCGCTTGATAAAATTTTCTCATCGCTCCAAGCTGTCCGGGCCCTCCTTCGAAGGAACCGTGGCCTTTGTCCTTACCATAGTCAATTATTTCAACAGCTGCCACGTCTGTTTGGTGGCTTACATACAACAACATCCACGACTCATTCCAGCCTTGCCAGCTTGCAGCCCTACCACAGAACAATTTTTATTTTCGATCACATGAGCGTCGTGCATATATCCATCAAGTCGATGACCTGCTGAAGCGAATTGGGTGCTCTGTCAACAAATGATTATGGTTGATTTCAGGGCTGTATGTGAACTACACAGTTGCACCTCTCTACTGTTCAAAAGTGCAACTCCTCCACCTCTCCGCTTAAAGGATTCATCGAGGTTTGGTTTATTTCTGGTCGATTTGATTGAAGAGTAATTTGAGAAATTCGGGCACACTTGAGTGAGTTCCGATTTCAATCATGGTATCACATCCTCCTGATGAACATTGTCGATAATCTAGATCTTCAAACCAATAACTCGTGTTAGAATTGCGGTCTGCATCATGAAGTAGTTGTAAAAGCCGGTCAGTACGCACGAAGATAATTGTTGATGACTGTTGGACGCGGCCATCGCGGATCGCGCTAGTGACACTCGGCCAGTTCACTTTGATTGTGTGGATAACAAGCTTGCAACGAATAGATTTTGACATCACTGTTCATGCTCTGGCTCCGTGAATTGCAGGTCAATGACGACTGTACTTGTCGATCGTTTCTAATCCAGTGCAACCACCTTACGCGATACGAAGGAAACTGATCACGACACATCGGAATTAAAAGAAGTATTGACATCGAAACCAGAAAGATCGTCAGAATGATTACAATCACGCTACCAACCTTGTTCCTCGAACAGGCAGATTCACCGAGCTGGAATCTGACTGGCACAGCTCATCTCGAAGATTACGTGGGGCATTTTTCGATATCACTTGTGTCCCTATGCGTCCAAAGTAATGTATTCGTTCTTTTAAGTTCTTCTGATACATTAATGAATATAAAATAAATAATGACATGAATAAATATTCGCATCGAAAAGGTAGTGTTCAATGGATGTATTGAAACAACACTCATAGGACTCACGGTCATCTAAAAGTGAAAATTAGTACAGAGTAAAGTGCCCCCGATCACTTCTTGCAGTTACACATCCGCTTCGATATTATATATATTGATGTTTGAGAAGTCCTCTTCAATCCTCATTTGATTCGTATGCCTGCGGTCAGTCTGTACGTGCGGCTAGATTGTTCAGAAACTCGTCCCAGCTCCATGTCCAGAATGGTGGCTTGTCCCAAGAATCGCCGAGCTCCTAGAATTGTACACACAGTCTGGTTGTTTGCCTCCTTAGCGGCATGTCTGTTGCTGACGACGCACTTCGGTATGCATTTCTAGACCAATCGACCTGCAACTCTGGTCAGTCTGCGGAAAAAACTGTTAAGACCAGAAATGTTAACTTTCTTCCTGCACTTCTCACGCACTTAGTTTCACACTCTTTCCTACATTTTCAAGGTTGTTTTCCACTACCTCTGCTGTCAAGTGGTATTCTACCTCTGATGTACATATCCACTTAACCATCTGCAGGACTAAAGTCAATGGTTTTATATGATTTGTCACGCTTGCAGGATGTGCTCAAGGTGCTCAAGGCCTGTTCGTTTTCGGAGACAGCTACACAGGTAATGTAACATAGGATCCGAAACTTCAACCGCAATATTCAGTGACAATCCTCAGCTACACGCAACTGCTTCACTGATTGTTATGATATATATTGGGTAGGGGTATCCATTTTGGCGCTTGACAGTTTAATTCGGCTGCCATGCGCAAACATTGTTAAGGAGTTTGGATTTGAATGCTGGCAGATACTGGAGAGAACTTGAAGTACCCGTATGGGATGACATGGCCTGGAGATGGCGGAGCTCGCCGTTCATCAGATGGGCACAACGAGGTGGACTACATAGGTGTGCACTTACTGATCAATGTATTATTCTGAGCAACACATTGCAGACATGAAGTGAACGAACTTCACTGAATCGGCGTTTGAGTAATTGAGATTGATGGACTACTGTTTTCACGGTCTTGTCAATTCTGCTGCAGCGGCGAAGCTAGGGGTACCTTCACCGACGCCATGGGAGGATTTGCCTGGAAACGGATACCAAACCAACGGGGGTGTGAATTTCGGTGTGGGAGGAGCTGCAGTCACCTACGCTTACGGTTGGAAGCCCTTGGAAAAGCAAGTCGACGAGTTTGAAGCGCTCGTGAAGGGCGGGACATGGACCGGGGATCACTTGGCACAATCAGTGGCGCTCGTCTCCATTGGTGTGAACGATTACACCTACTACAATCAGTATGGTAATGTAGTCCAGGTAGGATTTCCACTGCACAAGTATTGTAACTGTCGACGGGACTTAAAGTACCGACACACGTTGATAGGAAAAGTACCATGTTTTGTGAATCGGTAGGTAACCCTAATTTGATCTTGCAGGGTGTGAGCGCGTTTATCGATACAGTCGTTGACCAGATAGGAATTCAAATGCAACGCATCCACAACCTCGGGGTGGGAAGTCTAATGGTGGAGAATCTGGTACCTATGTCGTGCATGCCATTCACCACGCTGTGGGTCAATGGCGAGACGGGTTGTGCGACAAACGAACTGCTTGACACAGAAACAAACCTGCATGACGCGAAGCTGCATTATAAAGTGGACGAGCTCAACAGTGTTGGAGCCAACATTTTGATGCTGGATCTCACGAAAGCGCTGAGACAATTATTTGAAAACGGGCCATCGTATGGGTTTACAGAAGCTTACAAACGGTGTTGCACGGGCTCCTGCGGTGGTGGAGATGGCTACACGGTGTGCAACAATCCTGCAAATCACGTGATTTTTGATAGTATTCATCCTACCGAGGCGGCGTGGAAGGCGGTGACGGACCTCTACAGTTACAGTACGGGATTCACGAAAGGAGCCACTCTGAATACATGGTTTCGTCAGAACCAGATGATTAATTAGGATTGGGGTGTCGGAATCAGGCTTCCGCATAGCAGGAACGTCGGAGAAGATGTAGAAAGACGATTACCGTGAAGGCATCCTTAGCTCACGAAAGTGTGTAAAGAATTCGAGCTCAAAACGAGCTGTAGACTGATTTTCGAATGTACTATATCAATTCATTAACCATGGTAATTGAGTCAGGTATTTCAAATTGATGGAAGGTTTTCAACTACAGCGGTCACACTTTTGCGATGCGTTGATCACTGCTTATGTTGAATGATCATTACATGTTCTTGCCATTTTACCCAACGCAGGCCTGAAATCCCGTAATGTCTTACATTACAGGCCATGCGATGTGATGATTGAGTTGATTGGGCCGCAAGGCAAGCGAGGGCAGCTGGCCCTCTCGGAACCTAAATTCTTTGTCAGTGGGACCCCCATGGCGTGTCGCTTGTAATCGCTTCTCAAGTGTGATTGTGAAAGCTCATCCATTGGGTAGGGTTCCTGCAAATGAGTTCAGTTTTCGCATCTTGGTATTGAATCCCGTGTTATTATAACCTTCAGATTAGGTCGTCACGACTCTTTGTAGATTTGGAGCTTCTTGGCATGCATCTCGCGAAATCCTAATCGGATCGGTTAATCAACTTTATGTTTCGGAACGACTGTTGAACGATAGTTTACGAATTGACCTCTTTCTAGATAGCTACTAGTTAGCATGAAGGGGTGTAAGTAGCTGTGATTAAGACCGGGGGAGAAAACTCGAGAGATTAAGACAATTGGGATCCATTCCAGGAAAGCATGTTAGTCTCCTGATTTGCAGCGTAAGTTAATTGCGTGGTTTCGGAACGTTAACGAGACTCGGTCAACCTCTCTGCACTGCTGGCTGAGTTGTTTTTCGATTTCGTCAACGTGTTACGTTTAGAGACGAATGGAGTCCCTTACAATGGCTTTTCAGGATTGATGTGCTTGATTTGACGGTGTTGGGGGAAATTGGGCAGCGTACACTTGAGTTGAAAACGAGGATTGGAAGTCAAATTACTTGATTGCATGCGATTGAAGAGTGGTTGGAAAGGAAATCCGGAGATGGAGGTTGGAGGAGTGGGAGACGTCGCTAGCAGTGCTGAGGAGCAGGAGAAGTGGTTGGCGGATGCCATCGCTCTCGTCCAGCATAATGCGTTTTATATGCACCGTGCGCTGGTAATCCTACCCATCCCAAGACTTTCCTTGTGAATTGTGGGTTATTCATTATCTTGATCGTACCAGTGGCTATTATGAAATTTGCACAATTGCGATGTGGATGTTTGTGAAGAGGTTTCGGAGATTGTGGCCCGGTTTCGAGGTTTTTGGGGCATGGTGATAACTCCGTCTGCAATCCGCTTAAGCATTGAGTTACCGTAATAATGAATGATCTCTGCAACATACTTTATTGGTGACTACGATTCAGCCATTGCGAAAATCTATGAAAATCTGTGTCGAAAGCATCTATCAAAGATATTGCGTTAGGGTTTGGTGTTGTTTATATAGATTTGAATCCCCTTAAATCAAGGGCATGTAGGAGTCAATATAAGAAGTGTGGAATCTCAAAATGCTACCAGATGCAATACTTGTGTCACAGGTCATGCTCCTGCAGAAAACAAAGGAGACTAAGCAATTTTTTATTATGTTTGACTGCAGGATAGCAATAATTTGCGAGAAGCTCTTAAGTATTCGGCTCAGATGTTGTCTGAGCTGAGGACGTCCAAGCTGTCACCACAAAAGTACTATGAGCTCTGTATCCACCTTTTACAACTTCTATGCATGCACTAAAATCATATACCGTGTTGGGAAACCTAGTCCCTTGTCCTAGGTAGGATGGATGCTCGTGGTGCATATGAGATGCATAGCGTAACCAGGATCGGGTTAAGTTCTTATCCATGGAAAACCTTAATCAAAACTACAGATATGAGAATGTTTGTTGAACTGCAGCGATTGGAAATTTTCTTTCAAGATGAAACCAAGAGAGGTCGCACACCTGCAGATTTATACGAGCTTGTTCAGCATGCTGGAAACATATTGCCTCGTTTGTAAGTATGCTGATCATTTTTCAGGTGTAGGTTCGAAGATACTGAGCACACAGATTGGTGAAGGACTGGGGAGTAGATCATTGTTAGTGGATATTTTAATGTATACTGGTATTTTAATGTTACGAAGAGACTGGTGGATGCAGATCACTTTACGAGGTCATTTTCATCTTAGGGTGTCTTTCATAATGTATTACATGTTACCGAAATGTTTATTTCTGGGCTGTAGGTATTTACTCTGTACGGTGGGATCAGTGTACATAATGTCAAACGAAGCGCCAGCTAAGGATGTGTTGAAGGACCTTGTGGAAATGATTCGAGGAGTTCAGCATCCCATTCGGGGGCTATTTCTACGTAACTATCTCACTCAAATAAGCCGTGACAAACTGCCGGACGCGGGTTCTCCATTTGAAGGGTTAGCCATTCTGCCTAAAACCTTAACATCTGATTCATGCAGTTCCACCTAAGCGTCAAGTTACCTCAGAATTAGAGTGGATATTTTTCATGCCGCCTCAGTTGCTGTGTGCTACTTTCTGTTGTTTGGGAAAAGCCGGATGTCAGAGGCACCCGGTGGTTGCCATGTGTGCGAATTCCTTATTACTGTAACCAGAAACATTTAATTGCTTATTTCAATTATATTTTAATCAGTGTTGATCATCGTAGACGTAATTGTTGCCCTGCAGGGAAGGTGGGAAAGTGATCGATGCTGTGGAGTTTGTGCTACAAAACTTCACGGAGATGAACAAGTTGTGGGTGCGGATGCAGCATCAGGTAAGCACAATTGATACTCATATGTACGTTGCGATGAGATAAAACATCACTATTCAGTATGCTTGGACTCGTTGCAGAAAATTCTAGTTGGGAACGTTCTCCAATTTTTTCTTACCTCGCTTCCTAATGGGATTGCATTCTTTGTCCCACCAAGGGTCCTGCTCGGGAGAAGGAGAAGCGGGAAAAGGAACGAAGTGAACTTCGTGATTTGGTTAGTGTTACAAACATAATCTGTTACTACTAAAAACTCATTGATGTCCTCAGCATGATGCATGTCAAAACTGTGAGTGGTGAAGCTTTTTCATGGTGTATAGGAGAGTCCGCTCTGTTGCCTTTCTCAAGCTTCATACACTTCCTTCTTTGAAATTTCTTTGATGGGTACTCAATTTCCTAGCATCTGCTTTTTAATTCGCCATTGTACGTAAGAAAGTTATCCATCTTTCTAGCCAGTCAAAAATAGATGAGAAACAGCTTGCTAAGACTGCAATCCCCTACTGGTTCATTTCTCTGATTTTGGACAAAAGGATCTTATTTGACCTCAATATGTATTTAGTTGTCAACAGGTGGGAAAAAATCTGCATGTGCTCAGTCAGTTAGAAGGCGTGGACTTGGAAATGTATAAGGATGTGGTCCTTCCTCGAGTGCTTGAGCAGGTGAGGAAGTCGAGGTAATACCTGGTGAATTGTGTTTAAATTTGAGGATGTCGCTTTGGTGCTGCGATGAACACTTCGTTTTCCAAAGGTGGACTTTGCATGAAATTAAATTGCGTTGGAGTAGTAAGCTTTTATCGCCTTCACACCATACATTTAGTTCTAGGCCCCGAGACTTACTAGTTCAGTACCTGATTATAGTGAAGTCCTCTTTTTTTCTGAGCTCGGTTTAAATAGTGTCACTCAATCATGTCCACGTGTGGAGTTGTTGTGGACATGTATGGTGATCATATTGTAACCAGATGGCCGTAGAAATGGAGTGTCAACACTCCGAACCGTTTCAGTTTGCATATTACACCTAACACTTCGTCTTCTTTGGCTCTTTGGTCCAGATTGTCAACTGCAAGGATGAGATAGCCCAATTTTATTTGATGGATTGTGTCATCCAAGTATTTCCAGATGACTTTCATCTACAAACTTTGGAGATTATACTCAGCGCCTGCCCACAATTGCAGGTGTTGAATCTTCATTCCTAGTTTTTTGCACGTCTATTGGACTAATTGAATTTCCTCATGGCACTGAAAGCCTTGTGTGTAATTCGGATGCAGCCATCAGTGGATGTAAAGACTGTAATGTCACAGCTGATGGAGCGCCTATCCAAGTATGCAGGTGCTTCACCTGAGGTATGGAAAATATTCAGTAAATTCTGGGCATGCATACTATATCTTGGTCATGCTGGGTGCCCCTTTGCAGTAACACTAGAGCCCATGCATTTCATTTGGAGCAGCAAAACTTACATCGTATAATACAGTAATTGTTTTGTGTATATATATATATATGTATATATATATATATGCACACACACACTCACACACATATCAGTTGGGGACTTGTTTCTGAACAAATTTACGTCCTTACTGAACTCCTAACCTGACTTTATTACTTGCTGAGGACAAGTCCAACGTGTTTACATTTACAGCAGCAAATTTATTGAAATGATTGGATTTCTAGAGCACTGAAGTAGAGTAAATTGGTCATGTACATTTATACGGTATGCAGTTCCTACCAGACTTTCATCAGGTGGAAGCGTTTTCAAAATTTAGCCAAGCTGTTATGGAGGTAAGCAGTTAAACTTTGAATCTAAAGTAACAGTATCAGCATGTATTTATGAGTTTGTTATGTGATTCCTTTGTTTTATCTATCACCTTTGACCTCAAACCTAGTGGAACTGGGAATGTTGCAGGTTGTAGAAGCTCAGCCAGATATGTCATTGGCTAGCACTATCAGTCTTTACGTGGCACTCCTTGCTTTCGTTTTAAGTGTGCACAGTGACCATCTTGAATACGTCGATCAAGTTTTGGTATGTTTATCGTAATCTTTCTACATTCAATTTCTATTGTTCCAATTCGGTTTTGGATGTTTTCGTCTTAGAAAGGGGAATAGATAGAGTGACGTATTGTAGATGCCTCTTAGTTTTTGTGCGAGTACAAGTGGTTGGAAATATCTTCTATATTTAAATGCAAACATTTGTAAGTAATATCATCTGAATTTATATTCTGGCAGTACATGGTTTTCATAACCCTTCAAGAACCTCAAATTACTGGAGTCTTTTCAATACTCTTTGCAGTTAATGTGGTTACATAGTTGATCTGCTTATGGAAGTCACTTGTTGTCTAAATGTCATGTCCATGCCTGAAAGCATGGTAATGTTTGAGCATAGTAAATCCTATTGAGTAGCAACATATTCTTATGATGGCTTCTGGTAAAGCGCTTCAACAGTCGCAAGTTCACCTGCTTGTTCTATTGTAGCTTAGACTATGGATTTGATTGGAGGTACCCCCTTAAGTTTTTTGGCTGGACCATCTTGCAGGGATTATGTGCTAAGAGATTGGAGGGAAAGGGACGTATAAAAGATGCCAAGGCAACAAAGCAGCTTGTGTTGCTCTTAACTGGACCATTAGAAAAGTACAAGGATGTGGTAGTGATTTTGAAGTTGAGCAACTATGCTCATGTGATGGGACATCTGGATCATGACACTAATAAAAGTATGGCGGTGGTTCTTATCCAATCTGTGCTGTCCAACTACATTCAGATCGGAGAGCCTGATAAGGTGCGCTTCTCACGGAATACTTTGGATTTTGTTCCGGTGATGCTTTTTGGACTTTCTCAGTATGCGAGTTAAGGATTTACATTAAGAAGATGCGATATAAAACCAAATTTCTTGCAATCCTTGGGTGTGAATCTTAAGCAAGAACAAATGTTGGAGATGGTTCTGTCAATGGTTGTAAAATAATCTAAATGGATGGCGGTTGTTAGGTCGATGCATTGTTGGATCTCTTGAAGGAGCTTACCCAGGATATCGGCGATGCATCAGCTAAGGCACCACCCAAGTACAACGTAAGCTCGCAAGTTGCTTCATCTTGCTCCATGTATTATAATGGTAGACCTGTGTCCGTGATGTCATAACATGCTCATTAGCTTTTGTACTTTAATGTTTGAACTCGGAAAAATTGGCCTTACTATAGGCTTAGTGATAGGAGTGCATCAGAACTAGTATTGTGTTCTTAATAAGATTTTGTGTTGATTTTATGTGTAATCGAGGTCTGTATTATTCTGAAGTGAAATTGTATGCATGAATATCGTTTCCAGTGGCAGCAGGCAGATGATGAAGATTTCAAAGAAGAACAGAATTTAATGGCCAGGCTTGTGCATATGCTGAGGAATGATGACTTGGAGGTTATGTTCCAGGTACGTCCTTTCAGACGTTTATCATGACTTATTTTGTGTCGGGAAACTCATGCTAAAATTGATGTGTGTGAGGTTCTAACCTTCTTAAGTTTTTCAGTAGAAATCGTTAGTGCCTGGTCTCATGTACCACATGCAGAGCTCCGCAAGAGCTTCGCGAATAGATGTCTTGCGTTCTTATTAGATTCTTACGAAGTGATTCAAGTACACGTGCATCTATTTTACTATGAATCACAGTTCTGGTCGTGTGTTGCAGATTTTAGTAGTCGCACGCAAACATTTTGGTGAGGGAGGTCCACGTCGGATGCAATACACTCTTCCGCCTCTTGTGTTTTCTACTCTTAAGGTGGTACTCTGTTCTTACGCCGAACTTATGGTGGTGTACATGTAACTCGCGCTTTGATTGCATTTATATTTGAGCTCTTACCATGGAACAGAGTTGTTCGTATCTTGATGTTTTTTATATGCTTCTGTAAATGACTAGAAACTTTCTTGAAATCCATCTCATTGGGTTGTTGTTGTCGAACGCAGTTTGTGCACGCCTTGCAGCAAAAGGAATTAGAAGAGGGCTTTAGTGACAGGGCTGGTTCTCCTGCTATGAGGAAAGCTTTTCAGTTTTTACATCATGTAAGTATCTTGAAACATCAGCCTTCTCAGTGTGCATTATTTCTCAATTAGTATTCTGGTATATTTGATTGATTCGCGCCATTAGCCAGCTATATGAACATGATTGTTTCACCGCCTAAATTCACATTAAAGCATTCAGAACTTATGGTGGGGTACATGTAACTCGCGCTTTGATTGCATTCAAGTTTTAAACATCGTGTTGGTCTTGCTGTTCGATTAATATTTGAATTTGATGTATACGGTATCTGTTCTTAGACGTTGTAGTCAGGAAGATGAGAGTAGTGCATTCATTTCGGCTTGTCTGCAGACAGTGGAGGCTCTTGCCATGATTCCTGCAGCTGAACTAGCTTTGAGACTGTACCTACAATGCGCGGAGGTATGACTTTAACCTTTCTTGGCTTGAATGATAGGTTGCTTCAAATTACTCTACACTTAGATTTGTTAACTTAGATCTACAATCGCGTCATTTTAGTACTCTGGTAGTGGGAAATCTTTTTGAAGACTTGGTAGATGACTTTTTGGTTGTTTATGCTCTCATGTACCGGATTGTGGGTTTCTGCATAAGAAAAGGGCACTCTCGTAAATAGCACAATGGTACTGCTTCACATTCTGTTGTTCTACTCATTGCAATTTGTTCTGCTGCAGGCTGCTGGTAACTGTGGCTTGGAGCCTGTGGCTTACGAGTTTTTCACCCAGGCGTTCTTGTTGTACGAAGAAGAGGTAGCTGTAAGTGACTAAACATACTTATTTTGTGTATTTATGACGATCCTTGAACTTCAAGATATTAGATGTTCATTATGATTGCATTTCTGTTTGATACATGTATTAAGTCAAAGAAAGCAGAACTTGTTTATGGAATTTATTTAAAGAAATTGCGCGATGGAAATCATGCACATTAGGAATGAAGACCAAAAAGCATATGAAAGATTATAGGATTAAATGTCGTCGCAGGCAGTATGGTTTTTACTTAAAAGATTCCTAGTGACTTGCATGAAAAAGATCTAGTTTTTATATTTCTGTCTAGTTGACGAAATCTCAAGAGATGATCACTTCAGGATTCAAAAGCACAAGTTACTGCTCTTCATCTCATAATTGGGACGTTGCAAAGGACACGAGTTTTTGGTGTGGAGAACAGAGATACTTTGACCCACAAGGCCACAGGGGTAAGTTTTTCTACTGAGACTAATGAATAAGGGTTGCCATTCTTTCATAATGTGCTGCTGGAAACCACAATCGAGATACGAAGCAGCGGTTTTCTTTATCTCTAGGTCAGTATATGTAGTTTTCATGATTGATTCTTTGTTTCTCTTTTACCATCAGAGTGACATTCCTGTTGATTAATCACTATTAGAGAAAAATCAATGAACTTGTTATTTTGTCCGTGTACTTCGTGCATACATCATTCTATTTTTTCGTGTCTGTAGCGACCATCAAAATCAATTCCTCTGCTCAAAACCTGTGCTTTGATGGCCGATTTGGTGACATTAAACTCGAATATATAAGCAGAGATTGATGAGGGGGGTTGATTGTCACAGTATTCGGCTAAGCTACTCAAGAAGCCTGACCAATGCAGAGCTGTGGTCGCCTGTTCGCATTTATTTTGGGTTGAAGGTCAAAGTGGTGTACGAGATGGCGAAAGGTAACTATCACCTTTCACCCCTCACATGTGATGGGAATGTTCCTATGTATGCACTACTGACTTACAAGTAACTGCCTTAAAAGGTGAAAGGTTGTGTCGAATTAACTATCGCGTATGATTTGTGCAGAGTGCTTCTATGCCTGAAACGCGCATTGAGAATTGCTAATGCGGTTCAGCAAATGACTGGTGCCACAAGGGGTACCAGTGGCCCGATGACTCTTTTTGTTGAGATTCTTAACACGTACGTTCTGAACGCACTTGCGAAGAAATGTCCTGTCACTGCAGTAGGTTTACAGTTTGACTGTTATTAATGTAGCTTTTTCTTGAGTCATCGATGTTATGGACTTTTCTGAACTCTTTTTTGGTGTGTTTCCCAAAGCTCTGAAGTTCTGCAGCATGTGATGGGATCTGAGTCTGACGTGTTGTCGATTGAGGGATTGTGGCAAACAGGTATCTTTACTACTTCGACAGAGCAATACCTCAAATTACAGCGACTGTTATTCAGGGGCTGGTAGAACTTATTATCACGGAAACACAAAGCGAGGGGTCTGTCCATGAAGCACAAGTGGATTCGTATTTAGCGAACACCTTGAGATACATCCAGTACCAGAAACAGAAAGGTGACTACACCGCCGACAGGTATTCGGCAATTCAAATGCTTAATTAGCTGGCGATATAGCTTTGTGAGGCTTTTAATTCAATTTGTTCCTTAGCAACTTCTTCACCTTGGAAGCACCACATCTCGATTGGCACTTACAAGGCAGACATTACGTACTACACCCTATATATTTTATTGGCCTCATTTCCACCAATTTTTCCCTAGTTTCACTCCAAGATAGACAGCCATGTCGTTTATTTTTCTTTTGTTGTACATGTGAATTTGGAGGGTTTTAAGGTGTCAAGCAGGAATTATCTGAACTTAATTTTCTTTCTGCTTAGAAAGTAACATGGTTTATGTAAGGTACATCCTTGTGTAAAGTTATCAACGTATATAATTATTGTTCAAATTTAAAGAAAACTATAGGATGTTTGCATTGATTTATGATAGCTACAGAAGGCTGTGATGTCATTTTTTGCCTGACACCTCTCAAGATAAGCACTGACCTTAGTAAACCATGAATGTGTAGTGTTCGAATGAATGCGAAGTGGAACTTGGAACAAGTAATGTATGAATATGGTTCTATTTGGGCTCGAATGCACTTCATTTTCAATAAATTTTGACAAATAAATAAATACAGGCGGATTTCAGATAAAACTAACGGCCTTTTCACAAAACAAAATAGTGTGGTGGGATTGTGACTTGAATCTCACGTTACTTCTAGATCTGAAGCTGGAAACCGATTTGAGTAGATTCATGAATTATCTGCACCGTTTTACTTTCTTTCATTAAAAAACTTGCATGAGAGTCTTAGTTCATAAGAGCAGAAAGATGAGGTGAGAAATCATCATACGCTAGGTGAAACTCTTCTAAGTTGAGACATTGAACCAAAGAAGTACCAATAAACTTTAGTGCTCCACTAATGAGCAACCAAGATGATATCAAAAACTTCGAACTCCCCACCTCCACACTGCCAAGCCGGGTACCCAACGCAGATGCGGTGGTGCATGCCTTCGGTAGCACCACAACCACGATCATGACCGACACGCCCCTTCTTCTTCTTGCGTTTTTTCCAGCTGGGTGCCGCTCCCCCTGCGTTGTTCTGGGGCTCATCCAAGGCAGCAACAGGGAATAAAACAAACAGTTTCGTCTGCAGCAGCTTTTGGCTGTGCGTCAACATATTCCACACATATAGGCCAACCCATTGAGTTGCATAGGCTATAGATAAGATATTAGAATGTATTGTAAACATGTGAGGTTTGGGTGAATGAACAACTCTTACAATTGCAGCATAGATTATATAGAAGTAATATGATTCTGAAATAGGCTCCCAAATAGAAAATGAGGGTCGCTCATGAGCTATGACCTATATACTAGACGATGTGGTGAAATGCAAACCAGCCCATAAGTTAGAGGTTGAAATGAAGTGTTTAGTTGTAAGTCAATTTCTGAATCAATACATGACAATGGCAAGGACGGATTTAGTGGATGAATATAAAGTAAGCATTTGCAAGGCTTGATAATGTATACACACTCTTTCCTTTATATGTTGCTTTTTGATAAAGTGCCTTAAAGGTGCACTCTTCTACAACAATCTCTTACTCAATAACCTTACAAACCTATTCTTTTGCCACTAAAACTTAGTAAGCTTCTTATAAAATACTCCCTTCTTCCACATTCCACTAATCTTTTGCATTTCAAATGTTTCAATCAAATTTGTATTCTTTCTTTTTTCCTTTATTATTCAAGATCTTGATCTTGAATTTGTTGTATAATGTTCATATATGCCTCTAAGATTATCATTAATAATTTTAAAAAATACACTACAAGATCTAAATTGTATCTCCTCAAATTGGGTCTTTTTATTATGATAGACAACGATAGAAAGCAAGTCATGGATTTTGGATTAAGGCATATAGGATCTATTAATGAATAATATTATTCATTAACAAAGCATGTTTTAAGCTCAAGGTCACATAATGTACAAAAGTTTGTTTTAATGCACACTAGTTTAAGTTTTTTGATATCCAATAATCTCAATACTCCTTGAAATTGGTCTAAAATAGTCCAAATACACATATATCTAGAAACTACGTGGAGTGTAATATATGAGATGGTAGGATTAAAATATCTAGTCTTATATCATTTGTTGGTTTTGCAACTTCAATAGTATTGTGGCTTACATATTTGCCAAGGATTAGTAGATATCATTGAATAAGAAAAATACCACAATGACATTTCATATTCTTAACAAAGTAAAAAATCCATGAAAAAAAAAATAACTTATTATCTAAGCCTTAGATTGCATTGCTATGGTTGTACCTGCCTTGCAATGCTCTATGTAGTTTTGTTAAAAATGTTTTCTTTTAAAAATATAGAAAGACAACATCTTTGAACTTCTTGCGAGGATACAAACCAATATTGATAGCCATTCTCTTTCATCTAAAATAATAAGATATATCCAAAAAACACCTCTTTGAACTATGACAAGTTCTCCATTATTTTTTCTCGCTTGCACATCAAACTTGATACAATTCCATACCTTGTTTGGAAGATATTCATGCAATTTATATAATCTACTTAGATTATTACAAAAGCTTTGCACATTTTCTTTGCATAGTACATTGCTTTAAAAGATTCAAGAATTTGTGCCACCATTGCCATAATTTCAAAGTGATGGTTTTTAAAAAAGGTCCTTCAAATCCTAATTATTTCAAAAATCTTTATTTTTGAAATTGTAGATATCAAAAATAGACTCTTTTCACACATAATTCAAATGTACTTTATAAACTTGCTCTCTTCTTTCTTAGTTAGTACTCCTTGAACTTTCTTTTTTTAGATATTCACAATCTATAATACTACTTCTTGAAAATTATAAATGGAATATCATAATTTATTGCTATTTTTTTTATGCTTCTATACTCCTCATACTCTGCTAATGCTGCTTTTATTTGCTCATTATTCAATAAAGAATTTATTCTTATTTTGATAGTGTTGATCAAGTCTTACCTTGAAAGTGATAATTACAATAGTTGGTTGTTGATATGTCGTAAAATTATTCAAATGCTTGTGATGTCTTCTACATCAATATTATTGAAATGCAACACTTCACTATTATATAACATGTATTCTAGCTTGAAAATGCTTTAGGCACCAAATTGAAGAAGATAAGTAGAAATGCAACAATAAGATCCTATGAAGTCTAATAGAATCTTGAAAAATCTCTAAATAAACCTTAACATATTTAATCAAATTTTAATCAATCCAAAAGAAATTTAAAAGAATTACTAAAGAATATAAGAAGTTATAAATTAATCTCAAAGAAAAATAATAAAAAAACTCCTAAAGAAATAATAAGAATCTTAAAAAAATACTAAAATTTAAAAAAATTAAAGAAATAAAAAAGACTACTAAAAAATATATTTAAAATAGAAATATAAAATTAATCCTAAGTAAATCTTAGAGAAATACTAACCAACCTTAATGTAATATTAAAAAAATCCTAATGGAATTCTAACAATTTCTAAATAAATCCTAATAAAATCTTTAAAAATTCCTAATTAAACTTAAATAAAATTTTAAAGAAATCCTAACTAAATCCTAATCAATTCTAAATCATTATCTAAATCCTGAACTAAATCTTAAATAAATTTTAAACTATTCCAAAAAAATCCTAAATAAATCTTAACCACTTCTTAAAGTTGTTTTAAAATCTTAATGAATATTAATCAAACTATTGATCTTTATTAAAAACTTATTCACCTTTCAATCCAAAAGCAATTAATAAGCATATAAAATTTGAAGAAAATCAAATTCACTAGTTGAAAGAAAAGCTCCAAAAACTTCTTAGATATTGGCTCTTGTTTAATTACTTCAAAAATTAGTTAATATGTAGATTTTTAAGTCTTAATTTCTTTCACCAATTTTTACTTCAATCAAATTAAGAAATATTATAAGAATTCAAAAACCTTCATTGATCCTAAATTTCAAATATCTCAGATTATAATCAATAAAAACTCTTGTAACTTTTTATTTAATTACTCAATTAACATTTAATTTTTCAAAAATATTTAGAACAAGCACAATAACATGCTAACAAATTTTTACCTATAAATATACTATGATATTCACAAAATTGTCAAATTTATAAATTTATTTTTATTTCTCAAAATCTAAATCTATTGAGTACATTTCTTACTTTGAAAAGCCCTCAAAACCTCAATATGCCCTCAAATCACATGAAATTAACTCTTTAAAATCTTATTACAAGATTTCTTTCAAATTTCACTATTTAATTGATTAAAGAATTGTAGAATTGGCATAGGTGCATAGTTTTGTGCCTTAAGGTTTGATTTCAACCTTGGTTTATAATTGGTCCTCTTCAAGTATTAATTCTTTATATTTTGAGATAATATTTGCTAAAATCTATTTTTAATCTCTTTTAAAATTTTCTGATATTAATTATTTATTTTATTTATTTTTATTTGTCTCATTTATATTCCTACAAAGTAAGTAAAAGTCTCTTCTATAAGAAGGCAATATTAGCATTTATTAAATTTTACTACCTTCTTGTCTATTATCTATATTTCTAAGGTAATTTGCTAAAAAACTTCACTTAAGCTCCTATATAATATAACCTTTTCTTTCATTTTTTACCATATAATTATATTATCATATGATATTGATGTCCATCTTCACCCTTGTCTTATCTACAATTCTACATGAATTGTTTCTTTCCTTGTTTCAATAGCTTCTTTATCAAATTTCCTAATCACATTATCTTAGCCTCTTCAACCAACTTTGTCACTTCTAGAAATTTTGAGTCTGCAAATACAAAATCTTAAGAGCTTCATAATTATCAATTTGAATTTCAATAGGAAAGTTTGGCTTACTTCTACTGTTATATTGATCATATTAGCTACTATTGGAGTTGAATCCCACTTGCTTAGTCTGACTTAGAAATTCATTATTTACTCATGCCATACTATTGATTTGAATTTGTACATAGAAATCAAACTAGATAATCAAAAAAATTCAAAAATTCCTTCACATCTACTTATATTACTATTAACATATTGTGAAGCTATTATCATTTTTATCAAAATAAAAATAAAATATAAAATATAAAAAATATTATAATTAAATTTAAAGAATTTTTAAGTCTAAATAGGTCTTAAAATGATTGAATGCAATTGAAACAAGAAAGAAACAAGAAGCAGCCCATTAATTATTAAGATTTAGAATTATTTTACACTTAAAGAAAAATAAAGAAAAATCTAGCAAAAAAAATTAAATGGAATTTGTATTAATTTTTTTAAAAAATTTATTGATTTTAAGTTGTATTTCCTGACAATTTGGTTTTGCTC